TCACAAGTAACCTCAAAATAATGGCCAACGGAATAGAAAGATCTTGTTTTTATTCTGTTTCTGAGACAGTTTTTTTTACGTTCGTTACGTAGAATATCCTGTTTCATTCTCTATACGCTGGTCTTGAATTGGTGGTCGCCACCTGCCTCACCTGTGTTCAAAGTGTCCACAAGAGTGATGATTTACGAGTACTATTTAACGACCTGGGAAGTGGTTCATTCGGGGAGAGAGATTACGTCTTGTGTCAGTATGGCTGCTTGTCAATGCCTGGATGCCTTTCCTTTAACGTTAGTGAAGATGTCAGGCTCTGTGAGCTTAATAATTCATCATCAACAAAACACCTTCAAGACTTCACTGTGCGACTTGGTTTCGTTTATGTTCATTGGATTACGCTACCCATAAGTCAGTAAGTATTCACAACGCTCGGTGCGCAAGGTCCAGTCGGTCTAGACACAGGCGGCCCAAACGTAGTATGTGTCAAATGAATATATTAATATTCACATGGCCAAAATAGGATGAGTCGTCGAAACTCCCATGAACTAAAATTGTCCAAAAGTCAAAATATAACAAAACAAAGCTAAGATACCTTTAGCTGAACGTATCCTTGTCTTTCCTGGCTGGTTAAAGTGGCATAGTTGTTGAGTTCTGCAATTGTAGGTACTATCCACTAAAGAAGAATTAAAAGCTGGCTACAAAACAAACGGACCATCTCCGCGCGCCTTCACGCGAAGCGCTATAAATTCGAGAACAATCGACGAATCCGCTCCAAATTGCCATCGGCTAATCTGCAGGTAACGTGTGCTCCGGTTTCTTGCTCGCTTGATGCACAAAACCCATCGCAACTGCACTATAATCGCTCGCAGAATATCCTGTTTAATTCTCTATACGCTGGTCTTGAATTGGTTTTCGCCACTTGCCTCTCCTGCTAAGATACCTTTAACTGAACGCATCCTAAGATACCTTTAACCGAACGTATCTCTTGCCTTTCGTCTTACTCTTGAGCAAACTGAAGTTTTTCTGTTTGCCAAGAGTGGGCACAACCTCTTCGTCACCGATCAAGTTGGAACAGGAAAATCAAGGGTGCTAAAAGTTATTCGAGACGATTTGTGGAAAATGCTGACTTAACTTTTCCTACCACGATGTGAGGAAAACTGAACGCTGTTTACCCCTTACCTGCTGCGTGCCGAATAGAGTACAAGATAGAAAATGCTGTAACTTAACTTTTCCTACCTGACGTAAAAAAGAATTGGTTGAGTGTGAAGCTTTATTTTACTTGAAGTAATTGAAATTTACTTGTCTCGAAATATTTCTTTCTTGTCTCGATTTGCGTAAACGTAAAAGTTGAACCAAACTCAACTTTTACGTTTTAGGCTCGTTTACCTATGAACGGACTACTTTGCACTAGCCTCGGCGGTAAAGGACCTTTGATACACGGCTTTGTCTGTTCACAGGCCTGACGGCTATGCCAAGAGCCCTAATAAGGGTGAAACAGCTGTCAATGCTGCCACTACCCAGGTAATATGGCCATGCGCATGCGTAAAGTACCGGCCATACCGCTTAGTTGGGAGTGTGTGCTTCACTTCTAAATTTAGTCTAATAAGCCCTTACACATTTCCCATTTCCTTCCCATTCCCTTATGTGCCCCCAAAATCCAAAACTTTGCATAAGCATTGCTTTCGATTTCTCTCGGGACGGCTGTAATACCCAGGAAAAATGAAAGACAAAGGTTATGCATTAGACGGGCCTCTCAAATAAACGCCCCATGTCTCATGGACGCTCCCTCCTCCCCCCCCCCCCGCACACACACACACACACTATGATTACTCTACAATATTAGGAAATAGGAAAAGAGCAAAACTCATTCAATTTATTCAATGGATGAACTGGGTATCTGCTGTTTATAAACACTCTTGATATTTTCGCCGAAAGCATGCTGTCTATTGGATGATCATCTACAGTAAAGATATTTGGCAAATTCTAAAGTCGTAACTATTGTCGACTGACAGTTATTAAAAAAGAGAGAGAGAGAATAATTGCTATGCATCCATGGAAACTTAAAGGGGGAAGGTCGATAATTACGCACCATTTATTGCCGAAAACACTGTCGAGATCCAACTGTTTAACTTTCGTCAGTAAAAAGTATAAAAAGGCAAAGGAATTTTTGACAACCTGCCTTGAACAACTTGGATAAAGAGAAATTCAAATCTGCGGAGATGGTTAGACAAAAATTTTTAGCATCGAGGCAATCAGTAACACAAACATTTCTTCAAATATATCACACAAATGCTATTCCTTTCATCAAGAAATATGTGGACAAGTTAGAGCTATAATTTTTCTTGATTGACAGGGTCAATATTCGTAGAGAAACCATTAGCTATGTATACAGTTTTGGGCTTGTCGGTCCTGGTACCACTCAATTATTATCGTTGACATTTTAAACAAACCTCTGTGCTGCGTCGAGAAGTTTTGGCCGTATTTTACCTCGAGGAATGGGTGTTGTGAATCAGAAGAATTCTTCGTACAGGTCAGTTAAGGCCCGTTCCGAACGTCGTGCTACTGCCGTGCCGAGCTAAATTGATTGAATGAAATTCGACTTTAGCACGACAGTAGCTAGCCTGCGAAAACATCCGTTTCTCCTCGCTCTTCGTCGATGGGGACGTTTCGCGCGTTTCCTCCTCGCGAAACGTCCCCGGCGGCGAAGAGCGAGGAGAAACGGATGTTTTCGCAGGCTAGGAAGTAGCGCGACGTTTGAAACCAAGTCGAGTGCGACTGCCGTGTAGCACGGCAAGCTTTGCCGATTGCTACACGACAGTAGCTCGACTTGGTTTCAAACGTCGCGCATCTGCCGTGCCGAACTCAATTCATGAATTATACATACATTAGAACATATTTTAAAAGTTCACTAACCGTTTTTTTTTATTTTTAGTTTTGTTTTCCGCAACAGCTATTTTATTCGACTGAGTTAAATTCGACGTCTAAAACCAAGTAGTGCTACAGCCGTACTGAAGATCGGCAATAGCACTACGTTTGGCCTTTTTAAGTCTAACTTAGTTGCTTGTTATTACTATTGTTGTCGTCACTGTTTGACAGTTAGAGTTTAAGTGAATCGCGATCAGGACTAAGCGCAGCTGCAAAAAAACAACTCTGATGAAAAAACGGCGCTAACATTCTTCTTGCCGGAGCCTTGTAAATCCGTTTGTGGGTGCTGCCTCGTTCATGGACGAAGCGCAAGCGGTATATTTTTTCTGTTTTCTGCAGCAAAAGCGAGCGAGGGAGCGAGAGCTCGACTTGTTTCCTCTACAAAAAATCGCATCAAGTGACGTCATTTTGGCGCGAACTATTTGCGTCCCTGTCGCGTGTGTTGTCGCGAGCTGTCAAAGTATGTCAAAACAAACAAATAAGCGGAAAGAATTCGGAAAAGAGAAAACAAATAAAGAAATTTTCAATACAAAAAACGGGTAATCAACAAAAGTGCCGTCTTGTGATATTTGCGAGCTTAGTCTCCAGACGTTTCGGGCTCGTTGCAAGGTTTGCATACGCCATGAAAGAAAACATAAAAAAATAAGAATTTTGTAGTGCGCACGCTCAAAAAAAAAAACAAGTCGGTAATCTGGTAATGTTTTTTCGCTCCGTGGATGACAGGAAAATCAGACCTTGGTAAAGTACTCAAATGGAGGAACATAATTATAAAACGCCCACTGCAGCTTTGTATTTAGCCTCCCCCGCAGGCGTTTTTAGGGGAGATCGTGGGGAGCGAAGAAATACGATCTCCCCTAAAAACGCCTGCGGGGGAGGCTACTTTGTATTTGAATACGGGCGATGAAACGAAATCGAAATAAAGCCCGCAAAAAATACACAGTTCAAGTGATTAAGTCACGTTTCATGTGGCGTGATCGGGTTTGATTAACGGCGCATCAGTAGAACCGTTGGTGATTGGATAGAACCTACAGGAGGAAAATTCCTCCTGTATATTTGGCGCGCTGCAGGGGATAAAAGTCCTTCGCGCTGGGACCAACTACCCACTTATGTCCAGGATCGATCTTGTTAGCAAAATTTGCCAACAAGTTCTTTTCGCAATTGTCACAAAAAAGATTTAAAGAAGACTGTTATAAGAAAAGTATAGAAGAAATAGCAAATTTCGCAAAAATCGCAAAAGTAACAAGAATTTTCCTTGCTATGTGAGAAGATTTTATTACAGTATTCTGGAAAGAAAGATAACTGAAACAGCCCTTGACAGTCAAGATTACAACCAGAGAGAACTAAGATGTCAAATTAAGCAATCTGTTTCGAATCTGTTTGCGTCAGCGAAATTCGTTTTCACCGTTGACAGAAAAGAGAAAGCGAAGAAATCCTTTTAACGTGGATGAAACAAAAACTCTGGACTTAGATTATTGACAATCAATTCAATACTACTTTTGAAGGTCCATAAAGTAACTTTAGTTTCTGAGGCCCGGTTCAGACGCCGAACTTTTCATGAGCCGAACCTAATTCGAATTAAGGCCGACACCAATTATTTAGACCGGCTAAAGTGATACAGACGCCGATCTTAATTCCAGCCGAACTAAATTCAGAAGGCGAAAAATGCGCATTTCGGTCAAACTGCATACAAAATACGTTATAAGAATTTCTGCATTTGGTTCGGTACATGAAAAGTTCGGCGTCTGAATCAAAGGCGTTCCAGAGTCGATCCAAAGGCGAAATTCCCGGCCGGGCTAGGTGAAAAGAACGGCTGAGCCGTTCCAAATTGAAATAGGCGTTCCTAATTGATTCAGACGCCGAACTTTTCATGTACTTAATTCGATGTATTAGGTTCGGCTCATGAAAAGTACGGCGTCTGGACGGGGCCTGAGACGTTTTTACGTTCGTTACACAGAATATTCTGTTTCATTCTCTATACGCTGGGCTTGGTTGTCGCGACCTGTGTTCAAAGTCTACACACGAGAGATGATTTTCGATCGTCCTATTTAACGACGTGGGAAGAGCAGGCCTTACTGGGTCACATGATAGTGGCTAATTCGGGGCGAGATATTACTTCTTGCGCTCATGGCTGCTTGTCAATGCCTGGATGCCTTTCCTTTAACTTTGGTGAAGATGTCAGTCTCTGTGAGCTTAACAATTCATCATCAACAAGGCACCTTCAAGACTTCACTTTGCGTCCTGGTTTCGTTTATGGTCACTGGATTACCCTAGCCGTAATTCAGTATGTCTTCACAACGCTCGGTGCGGAAGGTCCACTCGGTCCAAATAACACATCCGGGTATGTTGGAACGTCCCTCGAGGGCAAAGTCCAACTTAATAATGGCATTCAAGAGTGGACAGTTCCTTACACGGGTATGTATTTCATCGAGGTGTTTGGTGCTTCAGGAGCGAACGGGACCTGCGCTAACTGTTCAGGATGGAAACATGGAGGGCTGGGAGCAAGAATCGCGGGATTATTTGAACTGAGACTTGGGCAGAAGTTGAAGATATTGGTTGGACAACAGGGGCAGGTCAACCTTGATTTCAAAGAAAACCCTGGAGGAGGTGGTGGAGGCACATTTGTGACACTCATGGACAATTCGCCACTACTTATTGCCGGAGGGGGAGGAGGTGGAAGTATTTCAATCGACGGAAACTTGGACGGCGATCCTGGGCAAGCTGGGCAAAATGGAACAAGGAACGGCGGCGCATCGGGGTCTGGAGGTCGGAAAGCAAATCCAGGAATACATTCTGGGACTGGAGCTGGCTTATGGGGCGATGGTGAAGGTATTTTTGGGCAGGCACGCAGCTTCAGAAGTGGCGGCCAAAGTGCCAAAACACTCGGCTCATTAGGGGGATTTGGTGGAGGGGGCTATGGTTTGGTTCTCCCCGGGGGGGGAGGCGGATACTCCGGTGGAGGAGTGGAAGGGACTCTCAACATTGGAGTCGCAGGAGGAGGAGGCTCCATAAATAACGGCTCCGCCCAGATAAACGAGAGCGGGGTTGACAAAGGAGATGGGAAGGTCATAATAACTCTCAGCACTTAAAAACTCGAGCTGCTTCAGTTCACCACTTTCCTGATGAAACATGTCAAGAACTTTTTTCCGAAGACGGATAAGAAAAATAAAATGTAGTTCAGTAGTCTTTATGGTGATATGGTTAAGGAAGAGGAAATAAAAGAGATATAGAGGAATATACCTTGTCTGGTTTTTCAGGTATAGTCTACGTAAGAACTCACTTAGCTCGTTTCGACTGTGTCTGGCTCTATGATTAAACGATGAGGATAGTTTCACATCAAACTTCATTAACAAAAATCACGGATTATGGGGAAAATAGACCCTGTTCCTGACAGAGGCAGCGAAGTGTTTTGAAACGTGGGGCGTGCTCATCTTATACTCAGCCATACGCATACCCCTACTCACCAAAATGCCCTTTGCGTTGTTCGTTGGCACGAGCAATCTTTAAAGTGTTTAGTGTGTCTGTAATCGATTTGTGACAACGCATCAGTAGGCAGTTGAGGGTTCAGGCGGTTCTGACGGCTCTGCTTCAATGTGCCTCTTGGGTAGTCCTTGAGTCGTCTGAGGACAGAAAATGTGCGCTCTGAAGTCGCTGATGTAACAGGTATTGTCAAATACATCCGTGTTTTTCGGCTCAAAACGTGGGAGGCTCTGCCCTTCCCAATTTTTTGTTTGAGGGGGCTACAGATCCCCCTGCCCCCCTACTCCTCCGCCTATGCCTGAGTCAAAATGAAGTAAAATATATGAACCCTTTTCCAGAGATAAAGAGTCTGAAATATGATTTTTATACGCTGTTCTAGAGCCAGAGAGAGGCAAAAACCACACCCTGTTGAGAGGCACATAGGTACCCGTACCGAGTGGAACATCTATATAACGAAATCCTCATTATAACGAACGATATTCTTCGCCACAGAAATTGTACAGGGGCACCCAACGTCAATTTTCGGAAAATATCTGTTCGGCAGACGATTTGAGATCTAGAATTTTCGGAACATTTGTTGTAAAATTTCTTGCTTGCCTGCCTCTCCTAGGATTTTCGAACATCTAACAAATAGTATAATTGCCAATTTCTAACGGATTTTTACCCTAAAAACGTCACCTAGAATTTTCGGGAGTCTTTTTTCAGGCTGAAATTTTCGAAAAGGTAAGTTTTGATCCCTCTAGTTTTCGGATCACTAGACTTTCAGCTTGGAAATCTGAACAGATGAAAAATATGCCTATATCTACCGTTTAAATACTAAAATACGTTTAACAATGCTATGTGGTTTTGAACTATATTCCCGTTGGGTGCCCCTTATTGTAAAATATTTATATGAAAAAGAACCTCGATATAACGAAACCTCGTTAAAAAACGAACATATTTTCGCAGTCCCTTGGCCCGTCGTTAAATCGAGGTTCCACTGTAGTCCCACACGACCTCAAAATCTCGCAAGCTTTTTTAAGCTTTTTTAATTTCGGCATCTGATGAGTCTAGTTTCGTTTGTGTGAGCTCCTTTCCTCCTTAAAGTCCCGAAATTTTTTCCCGTTAAGCTATTGGATTTGCAGGCTAGGTATCAATGTCTATGCAAGCCTTCCCTTGGATTTTACCATTTCGCGACTTCCTACCTACACGTTTTCACTAAGTAACGTGTTTCGATGTCTTTCGGCCATGCCCGCAACTGGAACACAATCTATTCTTCTTGCGACGGTATCGATGTCAAGCGCCATCTTTAAAAGTAGATTTAATAGCTATAGGTGATAAATGTTTATTTCCTTTAGTTTTCAAGGAAGCAAAAGAATTGCGTTACGCGGCTAACAGATAAAGTCACGCTACCTTGTTGACACCATTAACCTCTCGATCTCGCGATCACGTTCAAGAAATTGCTCTTTAATTTCTTCTCGGGTAATATTTCATCGTCTAGTAACCGTGGAGATTTCATTTAAAACCACAAGAAATTCAGAACTAGCAGATTCTAAAGTCTTATTGTTTTGGAGAGTTCATGAAAATTACATCCGAGTGTTTGTTTGAGTAGTGATTTGCATATGATAATTGACGCTTCTATTCACTGAAACAAACATGGCGCTTCGCTTGCTGTTGTGGCTTGTTGTTTTCATTGTTCCTTCTCCAAGTTTTGCTTGTCCAACGAAATGTTTATGTACAGAGCAGGGCAGCAGAGGATCGGCAGACTACAAAAGGATTGTCGATTGTGCAGGAAAACTCGGTGATTTGAATAGTATTCCTTGGGACATACCAGATGACACAACGAACCTGTGAGTGAACTGTTTTTGCGTGCGTAAATATTTTATCATATTACTTTATTTTATTATCAGGTGGGGTATTTGGTGCTTATATTTTACAGTTCTATGTTAATATTTAATTTAAATCTGGTGCGTAGTCTTCGAGGTAAAATCATGCTGCCACAAGCTGTTAGTAAAAATAACGGTTGTTACTCGACGCTATATTGCTTAGCGTGAAAATATATCGTCACGAACTTCGTAAAATTTTCACTTCTCGGTCGTCGTACATTTTCATTTTTAAAAAGCAATTTGTCGTAATTTCGTCTTATTTTGTACTATGAATCTGATGAATGTCGCACAGGGCACAGGCATACTCTGTAGATTTCCCGCTGTTTTGAGCTATTGTAGTTCGAGCTTGATTCTGAAAACCGAAAACTGCTAAAACGATCAAAACAACTTACAGCACAAATCAGCAAATCTGTAACCAGCCACATAACTTTCGTTACCTATTTTAAATTCCTCGAATGGTAGAGATAAATTTGAAATATATTCTCTGCGTCCAAAATTTTATCCGCGTAACAAACAGGATACCGTAAAGGAGATAAATAAGTCGTCGATGATGATAAATATGACAGTTCGTGCTTGTTTGATGGTTTGTAACTTTCAGACTGTGTTTTAATTGAAAGTTACATCTCATCTGAAATGAACAACTTCAAAGTTATTTTAAACCTAATGAGGAAATCTTGAAAACCTCTTCGCTCTAGAGGGTTTTTTATTATTTTTAGCTTATTAGCACTATCCAGGTACATTTGTGTTCTTTATTCAAATTTTCTTTTTTGGCACCTGAAAGTCAAACGCACGCGTTCAAAAATCCGGTTTATACCATATAGAATATTTTATTACATTTACAGTAACATTAGATCAAAAAGTTTTTAATCCATTGTTCAGTGGTCGATGATGTACGTGTTTAATGGTCCGTTTTAATCTCTTCCGAGGTTAAAACCATGGGAATGCAGACCTTCCCAACTTAAAAGAATATTATCATATCAGGTATTTATTGTCCTCGAGTTCCGAGATAGAGTCGAGTTATTAAATCGCGTGTCTTTCCAAGTGCTAGTAACTAATCAACGCCAAAGGGGTAGATTAATTGTTGTACCCGAGCCAACCTTACCGCGTACGTGACAATGCGCATTTTCTATATGCCAATATCATGAATATAGCGCTTTGATAATCGTTCGTTCGTTGGGCCAGTATTGGTGCGATATATTTAGTCCAACTGTCTCCTGCTTCGACAGAGGTTGCACATTTACTTGAATCTTATCTTAACTTTGCTGTGATAGTCAAACCAATACACGGCCAGTAGTCACTCGAATTGAAGGCGGTGTGCATCAGCTTTTGATCATGAGTTGTTTTTCTATCCAAGGCGTTATTTCTAAGTCAAAACTGTTCCATTAAAAAAAATTGCTTTGATAATATCAGCCTGGAAAAGGGTGGATTTTCATCCAAGATTAATTTTACTTGTAACAACTTCCCGGCAACTTGTAAACGGTGTTTATAAAGATCATCTTGTAAAATTTAACGCGTCATTAAACAACATGATTAGTTTCCTAATAAAATCTTTTTTTTTTCTTTTAACACTTACTTAAACAAATTATAGCTGCAATCAATCTTATCTGAATCACGGGTGTATCACAGGACATTCAAATTTCAAAACATGCGTGTTATAAATTTGACGATTCTGCTCTGTAAATACTATTCTACAAAGCTACTTAGCTAATCTCTCCGTTCCTTGCTGTTGTAACATATTGAACCACATTTAGTGGCATTTGCATGATATTTGTGAATAGGTCTTTAAATAATGTAAAAGAAAGCCTCCTCATTTATACTACTGCCTTACCCTACTCTAGACGGGCATCACAACCCCTCTCCCGACACTGATCTACTTCTGCTATTTGAAACGAGTATTTTGAAATATGTTTTCTTATTTTTACTGTTTATAGAATCCTGAAGGACAACAGGATTGAACAACTCAGTGAGCAAGCCTTCAAGACCTTAACAAAACTTCTTGTCTTGTAAGTGAAAGTCCATTGACTCCCAGTTCGTTCATTCATTTCTATCTTAATATAAAACCCTGTTGCCATCTGTCCACAGACTTTTTTCTTTTCTTTTTTTCGAGGAATTTCAGGACCCCAAACCTCTTACGCTGGCGGGCGAAAGATCCCACATGCGTGCTTTTTCCACTAGAATGTCTGTAAACAGGTTACCATGTTAAATAATAGAACCAAGTTGGCATTACTGAAAAACATGTAGTCGGTGCCTCATGAAGGTAGAAAACATACGATCAGCCGCACCAAAAGCGGGGCTAAAAGCATGCGACTTGTCAGGGTCGGCCAGGGGGGTAGTGAAATACCAAAATACCCGAAATAGACCTTCCAATATACCAAACTAGTAAAATACCAAAATTAAGAAAACCACGGTATACTTTTAACCCAAATTAGTTGTGAGTGAATGCTTTATACCCAAACTTCCGCATATATAAAATACTGTATACCTGAAATTAAATTTCCCAATATACTGTATACCCCAAAACCCTGGCTGTTCCTGACTGGTGCCGTCCTTTGTGTAGACTGTTCACAGTCCCCTATTTTTTCGTGAGATCGTTTAGATATACCGCGTCTTCTTACCGTAACGGCTATCTTGATTTTAAAATGTACCGAGGGGGCGGGCGTCGGGGATTATGGCTGGGGGGAAGGGCGAGAAAAATAGAAAAATATTTTTCTCGCTTTCTCCCAAACCGCCCCCGCCCCCTAGGTAGTTTTGACACTCATGCAAGATGGGTAGCCCGTAACGCAAAGCTCTCGGTCTCGATGATCTTACGGAAAAATAGACGACTGTGAACAGTCTATCCTTTGTGGGACTGTGGGCAGGGAAAGCAGTATGCACTAAGAAGAGGCCTAATGCAAAAACACAACCAGCGCTGAACCATTGCCGAGAAATGCACCTAAGCGCTTAAAAACTTTTAACACCGTTTCGTTTAACAACCGTTTCGTTTAAATCTGTTTGCTTTTCAGAGATTTGAGTAACAACCGTATTACAGCAGTAAGGTCGAAGATTTTCAGCTACCTACCAGCTCTAAAAGAATTGTAAGTACTAGTGGCGGTTTCCGCTTGTGGGTTTCGTTTCTTCGTTGATAGTTTGTCTAAAAAGATTTGTAGACTACGAGTAGTCCCCCATTTTTCCTCAGGGATAGTGGAGCGGGTGAAACGCCGGCGCGCGTGAAAATCACCCCACGCGTGTCGCCTTTTCTCGCGAAGGGTGATTTCACGCGCGCTTGCGTTTTGCACGCTCTATTATCCCTGAGGAAAAATGGGGGACTACTGTTAGTCTAAAAGGTTCGTCGCCATTGCAGTTTCTGTTAGTATTCTTCGCGTATATATCGAAACTTGTCCATGTTGAAGGTGCCGAAAATCAAGCAACTGGTCATTCGTGCGGCCAATGCCCCCAACACACGCCTCGAAGTGATAAACTCGTTTTTTCCGGGGATAAGGAGGTTACAGAAAGCATTAAGCATTAAGTTGGAGCCAAGCTAAGAGAGAAAACACATCAGCCTTATCTTGTATTGGTTTTTGCTCCTAATTAGTCTGGAAAAGTTAGTTTGTTGTGTCAGAAGTCTTTAGAGCTTTATAGCAAGAATTCGGAAACTTCTGTCGCCAATTTTCTGGTCTGTAGAGAGATTTGCAGATGAGTGTCGTGAAACCAACAGGCCGGGACGTAAGTAACTACTCTGACTTGGGAAATCGCCAAACCAATCAAAACCTGAGGGAAAATGCTGGAAATCTCTTGTAAGAAAGTCACGTTTTTTTTTATTATTTACACCTGACTGGTTGAAAAAGTGGCGCGAGAAAGCGTGACAGAGCAAATCTTTCTTTCCACATGCAAGTAAAGCGTGCCCTAGATCGGATCACTTTTTGCATTTACAGGTACTTAAGTGGAAACCAGTTGACCTGCGACTGTAAACTGTATGGAGTGTTCAATGCATCGCAACACTTACCAACATTTACAGGAACTTGTTTCAAGCCGGATGAATTGCGTGGCAAGAATATAAAGTCACTCAAGCTGTTGGAGTTCTGTCGTAAGTACTTTTAAAGCGGCAAACAGACTATTGGCGGGAAACGTATGAAAGAGTTTCCTTTTTGTTGCGTGTCAAGACCTCAGACCTCAAGGAGACAATAATGACAACGCGTGCTGTTCCGGCACAAACTCCAGTAGGCTTGAGTTTTCGACATGTTTCGAAACCCAGTTGGCATTTATTTTAGGTTAAGAATCGCAGCATATGAAATCTCGGTATGGTAACTAACCTAATCGTCTCTTTTAAACCTCGACACGGCTAAGTATATAACAGTTTTACATATAAAATAGCCATTGGCCTAGGGTTAGATACATTATGCAGGCATAATCGTGTTTTGGAGCATCGAGCATAATGCCGGCATAATGGCCATTATTTTCAGCATAAAGAGAATCATAATGAAAAAATATATATATTTCCGTAACTATGCTGAGACATTTTTACTTCCAAGTACTTTTGCTAATTAAGGATTAACGTATTTCAAGGTTTGATTGCTTCTTTCAATGTCTTGTTGCACCGTTGCATCATGTTGTTAGGCTGCTAATTGTCTATCCATGGCTGCCAGTTCGAATTTGTAACTGATGCAGTAAAATGTTGTGTATTTATGTCTGCGGGGATGGATAAGGGCATCAAATACAGCCAAGATCAGTCGAGCATAATGCTACTTTTCGAGCATAATTTTAAATCTTAATGGTGTTGATTTGAGGGTGACGCCCACAAGCATACAGCTCAAATTTTCGAGCATAATATATCTAACCCTACATTGGCCCGAAAAAGTCCTCACTCTTATACAAGCCCTTGCTTTTATATGCCGTGGATGATATGTTTATATATTAATTAATTAATTTTTTTTTCTTTTTTCCTTTTTGGAGGGTATGTCTTAGCATGGGAATTTGGTTTCCCCCTACTACCGTCCTGTTAACCATTTTTGTATTTTTGTTCGATTGTATATGTTAGTATTAGTTCATTTGTATCAGTTTTGTATGGTTACGAACTGTGATAAAAGATTAAAGATATTGTTCACTCCTATTTCTGGGTTGTTTTGTTGTTTCTTGAAACAGGTGGCTGTGACGCGGTAAAAGCACAAACAAACGCGGATGCTGACGGAGAGTACTTCATGCAAATCGGCACGGACTGTGACAAACGTGTGCGCTTGTATTGTCGAGGAATGAGCACGGATAGTCCTACAGAGTACGTCTCACTCCTTTCTGGTCCGAAAGACAACTATGCTTATGTGTATGGCTACAAACAACCTTATGCATCTAGAGAAGAGTGCGTAAAGGCAGACGGTGAGTTTGTGTCCGCTCTTTGCGCGGCAATACTGTTATAGTAGGATTACGAGGATTTTTTTATTGGCTCTTTATAGGATACTCGGAAAACTGGACCAAATGTCGTCCTTCCATGCCATGGTGCAATTCGACAGAACTATAACTTAGTCTCGCGTGCTAACTCAAAATGTCTCTTTAACATTGTTACCCTTATCAAAGTGTGTTTTCTTCCTTCTTTCAACTTGTTCTTATACCATTCATGCAATATTATCTATCAAGCACGCCAGTCGAGGAAGGGAGATTAGAGAAAAGTAAAAGGCGTATGTTCTCTGTGAAATTAAATGGTGCATTTGCGATTTCATCTATTAGAGAGCTTTAGATTCAAGGATGAGGACAACGTTCTACGTATTCTCAAAAATAGACACCCTTAATGACTTTTACTTTATTTCACCTGAAAAGTTAACACGGTTATTTTTGTTGCAGGAAGTTAAACCCTGCCCCGATCGCAAAATAATAAAACATTTGATAACTTTTTCCGGCCAATAAAACTCGTGGTAGAATGTCGACGGCTATCGCGTTTTCCCGCCAAAATGACGCTGGTTCCCGCGCGGAAGATTTCAAAGGTCTCTATCTACTGTGATGATAAGGTGTCATTCACTCCTTTCTTTACGAATCGAGGCTCAACGTCATGAGCGTCAGCAAAAAAGGCTATAGCACAGGGATACCAAGCTTTATTTCAGGGTAGGATTTTTCATACTTAAAGTTTTTTCTCTGTTAGGAGCCTCAGTTTACTCGGAAGCTGGATTCACAAACTTCACTAAAGTTCGTCTGGATCTCAGTACCATGACCCTTGTAGCTGAAGACTTCCATTACTCAACAACAAGCTCTGGTAAAAAGATCAAATATGGCGAAGCTGGGGATTGCTTTTCTGCTAGTAAAGAGTACTGTCGCAAAGGAGAATTTAAAATTGATCTAACAGGAACTGGCTTTCGTCTTAAGGCGAGTTTTCTTACTATAAGTAATTCCTATGAAAAATAGAAACGAAAGTCTTACTTAAAAGAAGGCACGTTTTTCTTCCTCATTTGTGATTAGTTTTCTTCAGAATGGGAATAACGCTGTAAAAAGGTGTCGTTGGTGTCAGTGTACTCAACAGTAGTTTTAAGTACGAAATTGAAATACTAAAAAGAGAATCACGTTCGCAAATGCTAAGGATACCCGTTTTCTAGCCTGCATAGCAAGCTTTTTCAACCGCGTTTTTGCGCAAAAGTTGGAGCGAGAGTAAAATAAATTGAAGAGGGGGGAAGGGAAGGGAAGAAGAGGACACTATTCTCCCCTCTCCTCTCCCATCATTCCCTTTTTATGCTCTCGTCCGAATTCCCCACTCCAGAAACTATAAGGGGAATGGGTACAAGCTTTCGGTGCAACGATCTCTGGGATCGTTCGGGTGGACAAGCGTTACTTCTGATTGGTGGATGGTATCCAAGGCAACCATTAACCCATCTCCCTATAGTTTCTGGAGTGGCGAATTTATTCGACGAACTCGCGCAGAAACGCTTGCTACGCACGCTACCAGTTTTCTTAAGACTATAAAATTTCTTTCAGCAGGACTTTCGTTTTCGTGTATTTTAAAGAGTTGGTGGACCTAGGGGAGAGACCTGGGGAGTCAGCCCTCCCTCCTTAAGTTTGAGACTAAACCGAGGCCTTGCTTTGGATACACCATAAAATGTTTCATTTTCAATACAAATTGCAATAATAGAACCGTCATCTTCGATTTGTTCTATATGTTAAGGTACAAAGACCCAGGGTGTCGTTTGTAAGAAGACAATTCAAGTGACATAACTTACCGCTGTCGGTCATTTTCTTTCTTTTTAACGTGGCACTCTAAAACAAAGAGGGTTTAGAAGGACTTCCGTGCATTCAAGCAGTCGTTAATCACACTTTGTAGATGAGAAGCAGTTAATTTTGGCTTTATTGCTCTTTTTGTAAAAAAAAAAGGTGATAGAAGTCATTTAGTTTATGCAAAAGTTGCTTGTCTAATCCTTAATTTTGATTTGGCCTTTTAGGACGACGTGGTCTGGGAACCATACGGCACTCCGTCAGGTATGAAGAATCTGCTAGACGTGGATGAGGATCGCAGGCGCGTGTTTGGAGAGTGCGGGGGCTACTGTGGAGGTTGCAGGGCTCGTGGTGGAAAATTAAAAGTGGAAGTGGAAAACTGTCAGAAGGGGTTCGAATGTAAGACTTATGTTGCCTGTCAACCTTGAAGAACAAGAATGTAGTGTTTCCCTTATTGCGTTCGACGTTAGGAGAACGCAACACCTAATCTTGGAATTCCTTGGTTATCCTGGGGTACACGGGATTGAACTTTTCAGCAAGATTTTTTCGTCGTGCGTCCGTATTTTGGGCGCCACTTTGAATTACGTCATAATGCGCATGCGCATCACTCTGGTTCGGTCATGGTCAATCAAACGCTGCAAATGGGCTTCGCAAGCACGGAGATTTATTAGTTCGCCGAGGGAATGAAATTCGAAGTTGTTTTTAAAGCATAATTATACTGATAATCTTTGCCATCCCTTTTTTGGAAAAGGACAAGCACCAAAACCAAAACGAAACTGGAAACTTCGATAAATCTTGGAACCACTGCAAACCGCGTCCGACCACCATGACCGCACAGGTTTAAAAAAAAGGTTTGATTCGCCACTTTAAAAACGAGAAGGAGACTGGCCGAGTTGACTTTCGCAAAGACTTCTGGGACTTACTTGGGACAGAGAAGAATTGGCCAATAGCTGACCGGCGCGTCCCCAGTAACCATCCCAGAAACAATTGCGGGACACATTTCGGCACCAGTCCCCTTATTGTTTCTAAAGTGGCGAATTGCAGATAATTCGAATCCATTTAACAGAGAAAAGGTGGACTTCATTGGTTAACTGACTCATTGATCAAAGACAACTGATTTTCTCTTATTGCCCTTGCAGCTTGTTATAAAGGTCTTGGAATGGAAGATCGCTCCATTATAGACAGCCAAATTACAAGTTCAACCTTCAAGACAGACGGAAGCAAAAGTTACAGACCAGAGTATGGCCGATTAAACAACAAACCTTCGGGGCTGATGGGTGGGGCATGGTGTGCAGCAAGATCGGACACGTCCAGCTATCTTCAGATTGATCTGAAAAAGGAGATGACTCTATCTGGAATCGCTACACAAGGTCAAAATGACGAACCTAACTGGGTTGCAAAGTATTCCATTGAGCACAGCAAAGATGGAAACTACTGGCAACCTTTCAAAGAGTTTGGAATTAAGAAGGTTTGTGCTGGTTCTGTTGTTATCACACTTCAATAGCGGGATGGTTTGCCTGTGCACTGTCACTTTGAGCGGAAAACATTATGAAACGGGACGAGATTACTCCAACACAGCCTAGTCCCAAGGCCTTCTCGGCTCGGTCAAACCTAGACTCTACCATGACCTGTGGCGTCGACCGCACTTTTCCAGACTTCGCGCGGACAACGGGGCAAGAAGAGAGAACGCCTAGGGACTTGGCTGCATTGTGCGAACACGTTAAATTACCGTAAACGTCCGAAAATAAGCCCCTCCATGTATAAGCCCCTCAAAATATAAGCCCTCCAAACCGGTAACACAAAAATCCCTCCGTTAAATCGTTCCCCCCCCAATATTAGCTCCGCGGGGGCTTGTACTTGGAAAAATGCCCTCAAATACAAAGTAAAACAAATCCAAAACGGTAAATTTGCTTCCAACTATAAGGAAAGCCCAATCGATTTTGAAAGGCAAATTCCCCTCCGTAGATAAGCCCCTCCGAATATAAGCCCCTCCAAAAATAAGCCCCTCAAGTAGGGCCTTTGAAAAAAAGAAGCCTCGGGGTTTATTTTCGGAATTTTACAGTATGTTCAGTCTTGATGGGCGGGACAATTCCCTCATACTGCAACCAGTCCCCGAGAACTTTAGACTGGTTCTCATGTACGATTCATAAGATTTCACGTTTTGTTGGTTTTCGTGGGAAAATTTTCGAGAATTGCGCCCTTAGTACCAACCTTTTCGCCTCTCTCACTTTGTAAGGGAAACGCCCTGGGTATGCAGTAATACCTGACGAGAATTTTCTCAGGAAAGGTGTTCTAACACCAACACTACTAAAACAGGTTATACTAGTTTGCCCTTTTTCTCAGGAACGGTACTCAGATCTCTAACACCAACGCTGCTAAAGCAGGTTATGGTATTCGCCAGTGAGTCAATATGGCGGGAACTAAATGGACGGTAAACGAAGCCAATGTTCTTAAAGTCTTTTGCAGTCATTTCCTCAAAGAAATAGTTGGGAATTTGACAAACGATACCAGAATTTCCTTTAGGTGATCATTTCATTAATTCTCAATACCATTTCTATTGATGATGTATGGATAATGTTAGTAGAAAATTGATGTTAGTCACTCTTGGGAGTTAGAGGGGTAATTCCAAAGCAGTTTAGCCTCAGCCCACTGCTCTGTATAACCATACCTCGGGTGCGCAGGTCATTCTAGCTGGCTAACGAAGTCGATTGCAAAAAAATTAACGACGGTTTCCTGTTCGTTACTTTCAGGATTTTGAAGGAAATGTTGACCAGAACAGCGTGATGACTCATTGGTTCAATCAGCGGTTTCGTGCACGCTACGTGAAAATTGTACCAAAGTTAATCAGCAGTCCCACGAACTCAATCTGTATGCGTGTTGAGCTTTACGGATGCGTTACCGGTAAAACGTCTTCTGAATTCCCGTAGAAGTAGCCTGTTCCAGGCTTCAAGATAGGAATGTGCCGAGATTGGGAAAACTGACGCGAAAAACAGGGGGAGCTGTGGAGAGAGGCCCCCTTTCCCAGATCCCGCGAGTCTTATTTTCACTTAGCTTGTTTTCGTGACGTCCCAACTATCTGAGAGCCTGGCACAGGCTTTTTGGGAAACTGCCCACCTACTCCTCCGTTAAGCCAACATTTTGCCCTGAGTGAGAAGCAAGTGTTAATGTTGGCTTAGGGGATGGGTAGGTGGGCAGTTTCTCAGAAACGTATAATGATCCCTACGGTGAGAGACAGTATTTTACAGAATTTAATGTTTTCCCCTTCTAACGTACGCTAAACCAACCAGACAAGAATTCAGAATGTTTGACGTTGACAAAAAATGGATACGAAATACGGCGGTTTCGTTCTTACTTCGGCATATTTTATAGCCTGCAAAGCGGACGATTTTTTTCTCAAAATTGTCCAGTTTGTAGTTGCGCTAAGCTCCGATGGCATAGCGCGATGCGCGAGAGCCTTGCACATGTGAAGTGAGATCAGGGAGAAGAGGAGAATTTTCAGCGTCTCTCCCAGGCCCTACTCCACGTCAGACCTTTCCGTTTGACTATCGCTTGCATTCTTGACCAACCCCAAAAAGAGCTGTTTTCCAGTCTAAACTGAACTATAAGAGGAAATGAAAAACCTGAATGGCAACTATTGGCTATTGAAGTGTACGAAAGCAATTGGGGGGTTGGAACTCATTTCAGTGATAGTGAAGCGGTGATAATATTAAAAAGCGTTAGAAATTGATAACAGTGAGCTATAACTTTCGTAGTTTTAAACCCGTGTCATCTGAAAAACGTCAAAGCCCATAATTGTCTCTTTGGATTCCAATAGCCTTCGCTATATTTTAAAGGTAGTCTTTAAAACTTTCTTCTAGTGTTGCACAGAGGGTTTGCGTGGAAGGAACCGCAAACTCGTTCCCAGGGTTATTACGTCAAAGTGGGAGCGCCGGGGAAAAGGGTCTGGGAACGATGTCGAACTTAGCATCATAGAATAACACTCACATTTACGTATGGGTTCATAGAGGTGATTGTTTCTATTCCTGACATTGTGTTGCGAAAGAAATGCTTTACATGATTTAATTGCCTTTTTGAAATTATACAAATGCGTCTTCGTTTTTTTTACAGATGTCGTTTCCGTCGTAATACGTAGCTCAACAACGAAAAACTGCTGGAGTCCGCAAGCCAGCTCTAATCCTTGCGAACCTGGGGAAGGGACGCAGCTCTCATTGAAGTCTTTCTGTCAGGGGGAGGGTGTGATGATGTCTTTGCGCCGAGATGGTTCTATAGCGCACAGTTGTAGTGGAAAGTGCGTGTATCGCAATGAGGGCTCGTTCCTCGCCCTCAGAGATGGACCATGTGAAACTTTTACGAAGCAGGAAGAGAATTCTGGAACCTTCTGGCTTATCCACCAAGCCAGTGGCTTGTGTGTCAACTTGGATGCTGCGAACAACTTGGTTTTGTCCAGCTGCAATCCGAAGTATTTGTTTGAGATGACGCAGTCAGGTATGGTCCCATACAAGTATTTTTGTCTCGTCCCCAGCGTTGCGTGACGAGACAAAAACGGCTACGTGAGACCCTTTTTTCCTTCTCATCGTTCCTCGCGCTCTTTATCTCCCTCTCTCCTCAACCTTGAAGGGGCAAAACGGAGGCATCTACGGAGGAGTGACAGTAGCCAAGGGAGCAGTTTCTTTCAACACTGTTAATATTAGCGCTAGTATCCATACTCTATCCCTGATAAGACAATCGACTAACCACTGGTGGTTGAATTCCAGATCTGTGACTTATTCTACATTACTAGACTTGACCCCCTCCACCCCAAGGTGTTAAAGAGGGTAGTGGAGACCGATAGCATAATAACGAGGGGTATAAATGATTGACTGTTGTCTCATTTATGTCAGAGAAAAGGGATGGCGATGATGATACTTAAATCAATCGACGAATCAGTTGATCAATCAGACTTAATTTACACATACAGAGTATATGAATTTCTTATATTTGAGCTGTGGGATGACGAAATAAATGTAAAGAAGATCATCGCAGTTGAAGACACAAGTTATAAATTTCTTCAGGCTTTCTTTTTGCAACTTCAGAAGTTGCGTCTTCAACTCCGATGATCTTCTTTAGATTTATTTCAGACTTAGTGGGTTGGAAGGACACAGAGTTCTTACTGCCTTATTTTCCCTCAGGTCTGCAACCAATTAAACCGAAGTCCAAAACGGCTAGTGACCAGTACCTCACGCTCAACAAAGCAGGCTGGGTTCATTGTAGCGTTGCCGCAGATCCACGCGCGAAGTTCTTCTGGAGTAAAGCAAACCCCTGGCCATTTGGAGAGCGCCTTGACGAGTTTGAATTTGTGCCATTTTCGAACGGTTCGCTGTTTGTGAGGAAGGCTAAGAAAAGTTATGAGGGTGATTATTATTGCACGGCTGTTAATTCAGGAGGATATGAGTCTACAGACATAAGTGTCAAAGTGGGAGGTAAGAACTCGGAGATTGAATTTTCGACCGAAAACTCGTGTGTTTAGGTGTTCCGTTCACACGTAACTAAGCTAACCTTACGAAAATTTGAACGCTAAATCGGGGTCAAATGTTTAGCCGGTACGATCAAAAATTAAATTGGCGCAATGTGAACACCTTTGCACTCAAATTTGACCGGCGTATTGTGCACGCCATAACCGGCTTAATTTTTTGTGCGGCAAAGGCGCGGTTGCATGGATGCGTGGTTACTAAGCTGGGAACACGCCATTTTGTGTTTGCTATAGTAACGCTCTGCGCATGGGCTGGTGGTAAAACCGCTGACAAAAGTTAAATTCGACCTGGTTTGTTAGTTCCGTGTGAACAGAGCGAAAAAAATTGAACTGTTCCCATGTGAACGAAGTTTCCGGTCAAGTTTTTTAGCCAGTCGAAAATTCGTCTAGTGCCATGTGAACGTAGCCGCGGATCAATTTAGGTTTCTGGGAAACTGCCCACCTACCCCTCCCCTTAGTTAACATTAACACTTACTTTTCATTTAGGGCAAAATGTTGGCTTAGGGGATGGGTAGGTGGGCAGTTTTTTGATTCGCCTGATTAAGGGTATTAACTTCCTAATCTACCGTCGGTCCATTGGTAAACGCACAGAGAAAGGAGTATAGTGCAGAAGTCTCTCTTGCTTGTTCCTATATTCAAATGAACATGATGATCAACGGAACAGATATTTGTAACTAATATTGTAACCTTGATGAACAACAACATATGCAACTCATTAGGTTCTAAGGGAAACAGGAAAAAGTCTAACAGCTTTGCTTGGTGCAGAAACAAACCCTATGCGACAGGTTGATCTGGCCTCTTTTGTTCAAAAGGTGGATAACGTTATCAACTGGATAAATCTCTATCCAGTAGATAACGTAATTGGCCTCCCTAATACTTATCCGCTGGATACTGATTTATCCAACGGATAACGCTATCCAACGCAGTCCGTCAAACGCCCAGAATCACAAATTGACCTCTTCAGAAAATACCATAACGTACCATAATGCTCTTTGTTTGTCACACCAAAATTTTGCATAAGCATTGTTTTCAGTTTCTCTTGGGGCCATTTTAACTCCCAAGAGAAACTGAACACAATGCTTATGCAAAATTTTGGAGTGACAAACAAAGGGCATTATGGCACGTTATGGTATTTTCTGGAGTGGTCAATTACAAATTTAAAAGAGAAGAATAAAGTTATCGGAAATCTCCCAAGAGGAGACTAAAACAGAATGATATCATGAAAATTTCATTATATATTCTTTTAATCACAACGTATCGAAGAAAGGCGCTATGCATACTTGCTTGTTGGCTTTGTCTTTCGTCTGTTTCTTCTTTTCGCGTTGCAGTAATGTTCTCGCGTGAATGTTCAGTTTACCTTCTGGTTGGAAAATTGTGAAAATTTCTCAGTCAAAAAAGGAATATTTGTAAGCTTATTGGTTGTTTTCCCATTGCAGAGCCACCCGTTTTTATTGAAGTTCCGAAAGACTTGCAGACTTCAGTCAACAGGACCGCCATGTTTAATTGTAGAGCCAGTATTGGAAGTCAGATCACGTGGTTTAAGCGCATGAAAGGATCTTCTTCGCTATCATCTGTACAGAAGCTGGGCAAACGTTTTAACGTTTTCCCTAATGGTTCACTGAAAATACATCCAGTTCAGAAAATAGACGAAGCCTTTTATCGGTGTCGGGCCGAAAATCCAGTAGGATATAATAATGCTTCGGCTTTCCTTCGTGTTCTGGGTATGTATGACTTAAGACCTACTCTCGATTGACTTGGGAGCCTTTAAAAGACAGTGTCACCTAGATTTATAGCCTGTGAACAGGCTCTCTGTTTGGGGAAAAATAGCGAGGGAAGGGAGGGAAAAGGGCTTTTCCCTCTCCCCAGTTCACCGCTCGACCAAAGGCCTGTTCACAGGCTACTAGATTTAGTGTTACGTAGCCTGCTAGCAAGCTTTCTGTCTCTAAAGGCGAGTTAAGCGAGTTTCGATAGGACGCGCGAGCGAGCAGCTCTCGCGTCGCCTTTCTCGTGTCACTCGCGAGTGTCTTCTCACGAAAATCCCCAATTGGAGATACTGGTCCCAGTCGTTACTTGGAAATCCAACGGAAGGGTTTGTGTCAGTGGATATTACAATGGTATACAAACGAAAACGTGACTTAAAAAAACCTTTTAAACCGAAGCACATACAGTGAATCCGCAATAAAACAATTCCACGCTAATATCCTTAAATTCTTATAGAAGGACCACGGAAGAAAAACCTTTGGTCCAAAGAAAGTTTCAACAGTTTTTGCGAAAAATTGGATTGAAGGAGCCGAGATATTGTCATTCAAAGCTATTGAATTAAAGGATTTTAGCGTGGACTTTCTGGTTTATCGGCTTTCTAGCATTTTTCTGCGGAAAAAGGAAAAGGGAAACCTCTCACAAAGGCGGGAGGGATCATTCATTTAGTAGGGGGACTAAACTCCTCCGACCCTACTCCCCAAATTTTGTACAACCGTACTTAGTTGAAGACACTTTCAAGAGTTTTCGTCTACTAGTATAGTATTATTAGAAAAGACCTGATTTCCAAATATACTGAGAATATTCGAATGTTTGTAGGCGTCCAAATCTTCGCTTTTTATTATAATAGCTTTGTTTATATTGAATTTGAAAACTATATGTTCTTTTTGTTTCAAGTTCCTCCAAGATTTACAATCGTACCTCGCGATGCCGAGGCGCCATCTGGAAGTAGTCCGATGTTCAGCTGTCAAGCGAGTGGGGACCCTGTGCCGACAATACGCTGGAGTAAAACCGGTTCGAGCAAGTCCCCAACCCAGCAACTAAAGAATGGCAGTTTGTTGATTAGGAATATTCAAAAGGCAAACGAGGGACGTTATTCTTGCTTAGCGTCCAACAGTTTAAAGATAATTAAAAGGGAATTCACTTTAACAGTTTACAGTAAGTTTGACTTCTTTTGTTGAGATTCTTAAGGCTCAAGAGAATTAAGTGTAAATCAGTCAATGAGTCATGAGGCATTGGGCGCTTTCCATTCAACCCAAAATTCCGGACATTTCGGTTGGTACATCAAATGGAACGGACCATTTCGGTTTGGTCCAACCGGAATATTTGGGGACCAGCTTTGAAGGTAGTCCTCTTCGACCGATCTGGTCATTTTGGGCGGTCGGACCGAGAGGTCCTTTTCCATTTGGCAAAATTATTGTCCCCAGTACCGCTCTTTTGTATCCTGCTTACAAGAACAATAACCAAACGCGCGGTGGATTGGGTCGGGTCTGTGCAACCGGAATGTACCGTTCCATTGGGCACGTGGAATTTCCGACATTTCAAATGGGAATTTTGTTGAACGGAAAGCACCCAATATTTCGAATCTCTGGGTTTGGTAGATATAGCGACAAACCACTTCGGTTAACCCTGATCACTAATATCAATATTTATCTCCAATTGCTATTGTCAGTGCTTACCCCTAATCACTATGCTTAAACCAGACCTGACTTATAACTTGATTCATGACTCATTGACACATTTGGCACATAAAACAAGATTTTTCAAGGTTGGAACGTTTATAGTAGTGTTTAAACACCTTGGGTGGCAGGCGTCGATAGGCCGAGCAGGGGAGGAGGGGAAATAGGAAAAGGTTTGGGAGAAGGGGCCCTTCTCTCCTTTATCCCTGTTCTTTTTTTCTTTCCCTTTCCCCCGCCCTTTTTGAGCCTTCCACGTGGGCTATATTTTGACCGCTTGATTTCTGACGTGTTGTTTAAGTAGTAAGGTCGCGATGTATTTTACCAAGTTATGTCTGAAGCTTGCTTACTTGTCTTAAAGCAGGACATAATTGTAACAAAATTTAGAAAACGTGTAAACTAATTAAGGTGATGGCTATTAAATCAGGGTGGTAGTTACAATATTGTTAGCCACCGATCGCAGAAATTTTTTTCAATCTTTCAAGCTATTATCCTGCGATCAGGCGATCTTTCTTCCCTTTTGTTTGGGAGACTAGAAAAAAAAACGCCTGATCGCAGGTTATTAAACTATAATCTCCTTCTACCTTGCCTACCTAAGAATATTTTGATTTTGGTAGCATTTGCTAGAGGCTTAAGATTTTGTAACTGAAATAACGTTTTCTTTGTCTAAATTGCAGCCTCATGTAGAATAGACCCTCAACAAAACGCATTCCACGAACCAGATAAGACGTTCTTTCGCGTTGGTGAAAAGGTCACTTTTCGCTGCAGTCCTGGGTTTGAAACGAAACAGGATACAAATCTAACTTGCCAAAATGATGGAAATTGGGATAAAAATTTTCCGCAATGTACTGGTAAGTTTAGCTTGTTCCTGGCTACAGATAGCAGGGATGGTGAAAAGAGAAGTTAGCAGGAAAAAAAATTGAGAGGGCTTAAAGAGAGGGCGTGATTATGCCGTTCTCTTATTTTTCCCTCTCCCTCTCTGCCGCTTCTGTTTTTCTCTTCGCTTTCTATTTCGCGCCACACTATCCAGTGGCGGGACAGAGCATCAGGGGGGGTCATCGGGCCCTGAGGGGGGCGGTCTCAAAACAAACTCCGTTTGGTCTAAAATAAGGGGGCACAGGACCCCTGGATCCGCCACTGCTATCGGAACGCCTGCAAAGGCTATGGTTAGTTAAAGCAATGAAGCATAGATACATATTGATGGATTATAATCCTGCGGTCAATAGAGAGGAGAACTGTGACGTCACGTTACCATGGTAGCAAAATTTCTGGATGACAACAATAGGGAGCTTAAGCACAGACAGCGGCGATGGGAACGACTGACGACTGAGAGATAGTAACGAATTAGTCAGAACTTTCATTCTGACGGCACGGTTTAGAGCGCGCAGAAGGTCATGGGATATTTTGGGACTATTTATCTTTTTGGCGTGGGATTTGGGGCGTTCTACGTCAGCTCAGTCGTCGTTTTTTTGTTATTCAAAGTTTCTTTTCCGATAGTTTATATTCTTAGGTGTTCAGATCTGTATGTTTTTGGAATAATCTTAATTCGGTATATAGCTTATGCATTTAGGTATTTTTTGGACTAACACTTCCAGCAAACCACTATTTTATGTTCTAGGCTATAACGTGTGCCATGCCAGATACGAAAAATCACTAAAAAAAAACACACCCTTGAGTGGTGGCCAAAAAATGTGTGGAAACATATTCCTCTCCTGTTTTTCATATACTTTACTACGGTCGAATCCCGATAACTCGAACCTTTAAGAAGGGAAATATAAAACAGTTCGAGTTATCGAGGGTAAAATAAAATAGAAAGCGATCTGAAGGGAATGAAAATTGCTTCGAGTTAGCGGGAGGTTCGAGTTATAGAGGATTCGAGTTACCGGGAGATGACTGTATTACTGGGGAAAATCATTCGTTCTACCGAGGACTTCGTTATCTAAAGGTTCGTTATATATCGAGGATCCACTGTTGAACGGTGAATACCTTGTCACACAGACTACTCCAAAAAGTGACTAAGAATATAACATTGATGTAACTTAACTAGCCGACATCTGCATCAGATGACTGATTGTCGCATCCTAAAAATAAACTTTTCGCATTGAATGTGTCCTGTTAGTGGAGTCAGAATTTGATTCATTTGTTAAGTTTGTTTGATTTGTCCTCTTCGCCAGACATTGACGAGTGTGCAATCCTTGCCTCCATCCCATACAAGAATACCACCATACTTCGGAGTTGTCACGAGAAAGCTCGTTGCCTGAACACCGTCGGCTCATATAAATGTCAGTGCACCACTGGATATGCTGGCGACGGATTTGCTTGTGTTGGTAGGGCTTTTGTTCTCATAATTGTCATTGCTCGTTATACATCGTCTGTCGATCGTATGAACTATCATCTCTCTCCAGGCTTCTCTACTTTGACTTAACCAGATTAAGAGAAACAACTCGATAACGCGTTTGTCTGCGCTTCACACAGGGATCCAAGGGCTCAAATTGCAATTTTCCCGCCCTTTGCATTAGGTGTATGTTTTCCCTTGCTTTGGACCGGCTGCGTCTTATCGGCTGTGGTTGTTAACGGCCGATATTATTCCTCTAACTTTGAATAGTTTGTTACATTACCTACTGGCTTGTATAAAAGTTGTGGTCGCTTTAAAACTTCTTTGTTTACTTTGTGCCCACTTTTTATTTGTAGCTGTTTGCATGCCACCAAACCAACAACCTAATGGAAAATGGACACCAATGAAACCTAACTACCAGATTGATGACACAGTTTGGCTAGAGTGTTTGACAGGGTACAAGCTCGCAAATCAAAAGCTTTCAAGTGTTACGTGTGGGAAAGACACCCTATGGAGTACCCCTGGTCCAACTTGTCTTGGTAAGGGGAGAGTTTTCTTCCTGTAGGAAACTATGTTGTGTGAGTTTCAGGAAATTGAAGAATCAGACGGCTAAGTCACAGAGAGGCGTAAAGCGCGCGGCGATGGCTCCTGGATAAACCGCACTTGCGTAATCACTTGCGCAATCTTCAGTCGTCTTGGGCGTCGTTTTTTAAAAAAGGGTTTTCCGACTGTAGGATAAAACTGAAGTAGAACACATCTCGCCAGAAGGTCTGGCCATCTCTCGGAGTTATTCATCATGTTGTTTAATTGCAGAGTAGTTGTTGTTACGTGACTGAGACTGCTATATGTCCTTCAGGATTCTTCTCTCGTGCGCATTTACCTCACTCGCTTGCTCGCTCGCTCGCACGTAACATGCTTGCCTGCGCGACAATCCCGAGAGACTGATAGCAGTCTACCGCGACCTAGATCCATGATGCTCGACTACCCGCGAGGTCTTGGAAAACTTACCCTTATACAGAAGAGTACAGGCGGAGCTCTGCGATAGCTATTAAAGAGATATCCAGCCTCCATGTTTACACAGACACGATTTTGCGGGTCGTTTCCTTCTAGAGTAGTGTAAAGAGAGACTAGCCTGCTGACTGTTGAATCAGTTATCTGTAGGGTACTCATTGTATTCTACCCAGAATACACTCAAAGATAACATTTCTTGATTCTCTGTTATTTCTAGACATTGATGAATGTACAGAGGGATCCCGCTGCCATAAGAATGCTGATTGTAAAAACACTCCTGGTTCGTTCACATGCACGTGTAAGAAAGGGTTTGAAGGCGACGGCTTTGTAGAATGCGAAGGTAAGAAAAAGAATGTAATGGTCATTTCCTTCTCGTAATGGTGATTTCGGTGCGATTTCTGTAACGGAGAGAAACTGCGCCGCGCCATCTCGTTAGTGGAGAGACACCTATCTGATAGGTTCTAAGCCACACTTTGGGGCAGTGTGAACAGCGGAAGTGAATGAGCAGCCAAGAGGACTGGAACCCACTGAGATGGAAGTAGATATTCCGGAGTGAGGACTGGCATTTAGAGCACCAAACACTCGCGGCCAACTGCTTTATTTCCTTATCCTAAGTACCACAAACGCCTGCATGTGTACTGCGCTTATCCTGGTCGATGTTTTGTTTACTCAAGGCTGTTGAACGTTAGAGTGACGAAGCGGTCTTTCAAGTACGATTTTCGAAAAGATATTATTATGTTTAAAGAAATAATATTTTAAGAGTAACTTACAAACATGCAAGACAAATTGACGCAAAACAAGAAATTGAAACCCAGGTGTCTATCATGCAGTTTTTTTATCCGCCACTTTTGATTTTTTGACACGAGGAAAGACAATGACACAGACCGAAAGTTAGGTTTCGCAGTGTTGATTGATCTTGAATGATAGTTCATTGACTATATCAAAAAAATATTTTTCAGAGGAGAGAACTCGATTTCTTACCGAAACAACAGGGAAGACGTGGTCATTTTCTGGCAAGATGGACGTTTTAGTCGATAAGGTAAAAGTAAAACCGCATCCTTGTTGGGGTAATGTTAAGCACTCGATATTATATCCAGTTTTCTTTACTCTGCGGTTTTCTTCCAGCTTGTTCGAAGAGAGTTGAACACACTTAGTTCAAATTGTAATTATAACGCGGCGGGATTAGCTCTGTCCGTAGAGCGCTTGACTACAGAGCATGAATAGGAGGTCGTGGGTTCAATTCCAGGGGCCTGCTAATACTCAGAGACTTAAAATAACTCAGAAATGAAGGTAATGCCTCTGCTCGGCAGATTATGGTTTCAGTTTTACTCGAGGGAAAGTTAACTTCGTGTTAGGTTTACTTTTTTCTTTTCTCTCCCTGTACCAAAGTCTTAAAAGCCCTCGTAAATGCAGTGTCAGTAACGTCCTATGACGGTGTTTGTGTCTTTTCTTCTTTAACAGATAAATCAATTTCAACGAAACAATATCACAGCTGACGATCTGCTGGGCGTTGTGCTGAACTCATCGGCTCCAGGCCCCCAGCAACTTCTTCCAGGTGACCTGCTGGTTGCCATTAGAGGAATGCGTGTTGCTCTCACAAGCATGGACCCTAAACAGAAACTGTCCTCTGCTAAGGTACTTTAAATCTGACCCAGCCTGGTCCCTAGTAGCCTGTGCCAGGCTCTCAGATAGTATAGTGGGAAAGTATTAAAACGAGCTAAGCGAAAACAAGACACGCGCGTTTTTCGCATTTCTTATTACTGAACGACTTTCCACCACCATCTCGGAGCTTGGAACAGGCTAAGTCCCTAGGCTTTCTCTCTTGCCCCGATATCCGCGCGAAGTCTGGGAAAGAGCGGGCGAGAGAACGAGTATCTCGGCGAGTATCTCTCGGTGACGTCACAGCTCACGGTAGAGTCCAGGATTGACCGAACCGAGAACGCCTAGGGACTAGGCTGAATCTGACCCTTGCCACTCAAAATAGACGGCTTGCTCGCAGGCTAACCAAACGCAAGAGGATAACTTATAAGAGTAACAGCTGAAAAGTGCTCACAATTAAATGTCAAATGCTATCGCTAACGTTAGCCTGTTTTATACTTTCTTCTGTCAGCCTACTCTTCAAATTGCCAGTAATCTTTTGGATGAGCGTCATAAGGAACAATGGAGTGAGTTACAAGAGGTAATTACCATGCAATACGTTAGTGCATATTGACAAGATCTAGCTCTATCACTCATAAATCTTCTCCCTTTCCTCCACTCCCATGGTTACATTTACAGAAGATTAAAAGATACTCCGCCCATAGCCAAAATGTAGAAAATATGATTTATCACCTCATTTAAAAAAATTGACGGCACAAAAAAGTGCGGTCTTTTGTTTGTTTTTTACAAATAAGAAGGGTTTCCCCCACACAATTTGAACGTTGCGCTTCAGCTCCAAACCGGAAATGACGCAGAAGTGGAGAACGCAGTTACACGATTCTGCAACATTACAGGAGCCGATTACTAAACGAGTGATTTGAAGAGTTTAAAAGAGATTTTACAGTCGATATTTCACCAAAAACTCTATAACTTAACGCTACGCTAGTGTATCGTTAGTTGGATTTTCAGAATAGTGCGATGGATGTTCCGAAAATGTTCCGACACCCCTGACTCGTCCTCAGTCGTCTTCGTAACGTGCACGGTAGCAGAAGCAGGGGTTGATGGAAAGAGAGGAGAGATCTCCCTCGCTTTCCTCCTTCCCATCTAACCTTGCGCACAACTACAGAGAGGTGAGAGACAACTGAGGACGAGTCTACTGACTCGACTCCCCTCCCCTCCCACCTTACGATCGAGTGTTTCAGTTATCTCTCCGTTTGTAAAGAAGCGATACAACTGAACTTGAATGGGATTCTTTTCTAGGAAACAAAAGGCGTCACTGAGGTCATGGCCTTACTAGATAAATTTGCCATGGAACTGGCTGATGATCTAGAGAAACAAAGGCCGACGAATGACAGTTCTGACATAAATATTAAAACGGAGAATGTTGGTGAGTAAAGAGAGCAGAGACCTTTAGATTCGGGGATAAGATTTGACGTAAAGATTTGTCGCGTATTCTCAAAATATCGACACCCCGAAAAGCTTCATTGCACTTTTTTACCACAAAAGTTTGCACGGTTATTTTTTATTGATGGAGGTGAAAGCCTTTCCCAATCGCTGGATGAGACTTCCAACATTTTAAAACTTGTTTCTTTTACTACGACATTTTCGCTAAAAGTTAAACCCATAGCAGAATGACGAAGACTATCACGTTTTCGCGCCGAAATGACGTTGGTTCACGCGCGCACACTACTTTGTATTTTGAAATTTCTCGTTTTCGTAGTCGTCCTCATCGCAGAATTTAAAGGTCTTTATTAGTAGCGAAAAGGAAACTATTGTCATTAGGATGTTGTAAGGGTGATAGGGTCATCAAAAAGAAAAAAATCAAATTTGCCTTCGTGAGTGTAACCGTGAAATTTCTCAAATATCTCGCACTGAGGGGGCTTTCCAAAAGTCAGAACTGGCCGACGAGACCGGTTATATTGAAATGAAATATTTCGAAATATAAGTCTTTTCTTGAACGTTTTATTAAACCCATATGCCTTGCATACACCATTTAGAAGTAATCTGATCTCGCTGGATAGTCCTGATTAATACTGGAATTCTGCCGACGACTGGACTGGTCTGGCTAGCCAGTTCTGACTTTTGGAAATCGCCCTGAATCATATTTTTAAAGTTTTACTGCTTTTCTTTTCTTTAGAAATGAAGGTGATGGTGAAAGAAGCCAAGAACATTTCAACCGACGTCCAGTATCCTGAACTAAGGAAAAAGGACAACGGACCTTCTGCGCAGGTTGTCTTGCCCCGAGAACTGTTCACAAAATACGAAGGTAATAAGTTTTTTTTTCCCATAGAGGAAATTCAAGTCCCGTCATTACTTTCTCCTTTGTTTCAGCTTAAGACTTTCAAAATTTTCATAGAGCGCACAAATCTGTTTGTCGGCGGGCCATTGACTTCTTTTGTCGACTTGGAGAAGTAGGTTACTGCGTCTTTCATCGCTAACCGCGACGGCAGCGGTATCCTGAAAAAAGACTCAATTTCGCGAAATATCATGAGCCATATTTCGCTATTTTTAGGAATTTTTAGATTTCGCGATTTTTCCCAAACCGCGAAAATCGCGAAATTTAATACTGGCGAAATTAATTTAGAATAAGGTCTTTTCAACAAGCCAAACAACATCTTTGCGCGTACTTCACACTTTTTGGTACATTTCTTTGCCGTTACTGTACGATCACGGACGTGAAACTGCTGGCAATGTGACGTTTTGTGGAGTACGTTAACACACACATTTCTTTTTCCTTTCCAAACTTGAATGCGCTCTCTGAATATTTAACTCCAGGACAACTCGCCTGCATTTTACAAAATTTAAGTAGTTGGAATAATCACGATAAATTTTGAAAGAACGCGAGTGCACTTAATAAGTGACGTTTTCACTGCCGTCGTTACCCTGTGTTATTCACTAGTAACCCTTTGCTTCTTTAATACAATCCGAAAGAGCAGTGCACCAAAATACCAATTTGTAACCAATTTCTGCGCTTTATGTTCTGCGAATGTTCGTGAAACTAGCTTTTGCCGGCAATTTTCCAGCAATTGCCAGCCTTGCATTGTCAAGTTTTGTGATTGGTTCAACAATATCTTTTAAGACAGGGTAAAGTGCACAAACTACAACTTTGCTCGGGGACGAGGGAGGAAGGAAAGAAGTTAGGCTTAGGCCAAACGTCGAAATTTTCATGAGACGAACCAAACTCTTATTTGGGTCTACCTAAATGAAGTTAAGATCGTCTGTTGGGTCAGACGTCGAACTTTGGACGCGTCGAAACCAATCAACTGAATCAGATCAGTAATAAATTTTCTCCCGAAGGAGGCCCTTTAAAATATACATTATTATACAAATTTTTTGCCCATTAGTTTAGTTCGTTTTGCCCCAAATGAGAAGATGTTAATGTTTATCCTGAACGGGTCTTTAGAAACGTTCTATCCGTCTTGGACGATCGGAAACTCACGTCAGACGAACTCCAAACTCATTCAGACGTCGTAACTTTCATGAGGTCCAATCTCGACCCAGATTCATCTCGCATGTAAGTTTGGTTCGTCTGGGGTCGAAATGGATTGAACTCATGATTCGCCTATGCTTTAAAGGCGTATCGTGTTACTGAAACGTCGAACGACTTTTGACCTCCATTGTCCATTATTAATCTAAATGTTTTCCTGTTTCTTTAATCTTGTTTCACATTTGTTTTCATTTCAGGTGACAATGTGGTCAAAATAACCAGCTTCTTCTTCAAGGACCTGGCAAAACTAATGCCAAGGAGAGCAGAGGGGTTCAAAAAGTAATTTCATCCGAGCAGTAATGTTAAAAATAACTTTACTTTTATCGTTTTAAAACTAACCGAGAAACGGAAGTTACTTTCCCTGAAAAGACCACGCGCCTGCTTTCAGTGTGGTAAGCTTTATTGGAAAAACTCAACTAACTTGACTTATGTCGTCGTTGTAAAACTAACTGAGAGACGGAAAACGACTTTCCTTTAAATGGCCATGTGCCTGCTAAAAACCTATAACTTCTTTTCCAGTATTATAAACTTAATTCGAAAAAGTCTGTTTATTTGTGGTAACGATTCATGGTATTTCTATTTTTACAGATTCGATGCAAGTTCTCCGATGGTGTCCAGTTCACTGTCTCCACTTCCGTCCGGCGGGAAACTGGATCCGCCCGTCAGAATAACTCTGTCAAATCAGGTACTAAGATCTTACCAAGTTGTGAACAGACTCGTACCCATTGTAGATGTTTGAATGTTTGAAAGTGTCGTGTCACAAGTACAATCGGTGAACAAAAATCATTTCCGACACTTTGTCCTTAGTTACAAGATTTCTCAAGCTTTACCGATCTTATCTACTTCAAGACCGAAAAAGCAAGCTTATCCTCCCCTCACCTCCCCCAAACAATGTTGTGTCACGCCACCTGCAGCAACAAACGAGTCAACATCGGTCGGGGGGATGGGGGGATGGTCTAGATCGTATGTTTTTCGAACTCGCCATTTGGCGACAGTGTCTGCGGTGAACGATTTTTTGGTCACTCGCGTTTCGACGACATGTGCGGATGTCATCGTCACAGCCATAGTGACAGACTGTAACCTAGTCGCCGTTTAAGTGTCTTTTTTTTGTTTGTTTGTGGCGGATGCTATTTTGTCTTCGCCCTTTCCCTGACCCTCCGCGTGACTCCATCGAACCCCAATCTCCTCCTACCCCTAAAACACATTAATACATGTTTAAATAGTAATAATCAATATTTGCGTGTATACTGATAAGAGACTACTCTTTTACAGTAGCAAGTTGTGTTTTAATTGCGTTTGTGTTGTTTTTAAGCCTGTAGAGAAAGAAGCGGTCACCAGATGTGTTTACTGGGACTTTGAGAAGTAAGTTGTTTTGTTTGGTTTTGTTTGATTGACGCGCACCAATCGGTCATACTCCACGTTTTCAACAACATTTTGCAAACAATCAAGTAAGAATTACGGTGAATGCTACCTGTGCAGCATTTTCGGCACGTCGAGTAATTCCATGCGTTAACACATAGGAATGCTTTATCCTATGATTTTGGGCACAAGGAGGGGAAGTCTCTTTAATTTAAGGGAGTATATCCTTCCTTATACAGATATTTATACTTACTCGTATCTGCGACGACAAGGGCGGTTAGCGAGAGGTGGAGAAAGTGCAACTGGTGTGATAAGAGGGGTGTATGTGAATCCAAGTAGTACCCCTTGGATCCGCCCCTACTTTACTACCTGCCTGTGTTATTAGAGGCCTTTACTTGATAGAATTCGTCGACGTTGACGGCGATTTTGGATCGCGCGAGGAATTGGTTTACATCATATCGTGAGATTTTGCTGTCCGCTCCGTTCAGCCACTTTTTTGCGTAAAGGCCTCTATTTTATCTTGCGTTCTCCTGTTCCCACGGCTGAGATTAACCGGTTCATTGTCATTTTTTTAATAGAGAAGCGAATAAAAAAAGTTACTTTTAGAACTGTGATTTTATGCATGGGATGATGTTTTCAGGTCCAAGGAACTGGGTGGAAGCTGGTCTGCCGATGGGTGTAAGGTGGTGTCAAGCGCCAGTAATGGTACAGTTTGCGAATGTAACCACCTCACAAGCTTTACTTCGATTTCTGTTTATGACAAGGTATAACCTGAACACTTAAACTCGCTTCACATGCTCCCTACTTTCTATCCTGCAAAGCACGCGTTTTCTATTATTGTTTGAGTGGTAGAATTTGCTAGGGTTTTGTGCAGCTACAATGTCAAGCAGTTAAGGAGCCGGGACGAGACAAAGGACACAGAGAAGTGGGTGAAGTAGACAGCTGCCTCTCTGCTATCCCCCACATAGTTCCTTCAGCCAAACGCACACCCAAGATTTACCTTCCCCAGTGTTCCTCTGTGTGTTTAATGACGGATACCCAAAGGAGATACTGCAAAGCTCTCTCTCGTCTTCCCCTACCCCACCCCCTCAATAAAAGCCTACAGTGTAAGCATGCGTTTTCTATTATTGCGCGAGTGGTAGAATTTGGTCGGGTTTTGTATAACTACAGTGTTGAATCACCAAAACCTTAAGAAAATGGGATGGACGAGTCAAAGGGCACAGGGAGGAGGGTGGCGGCTCCCTACTGTCCCCTATATAGTTATTTCAGCCTAACGCACACCTTTTACCCTCCCTGGTGTTCCTTTGCCTTTAAATCGAAAGTGACGGATACACACAGGAGATACTGCAAAGAATTCGTTCGCCCCGCCTTCCCCTCCCCCAAGAAAAGCATACAGTGTAAGCTACCTGTTATCGTAACGTTTTGTCGTCTTAATTTCTTTACCAGGAACTCGCCCTTACTCTCATTATTTACATTGGCTGTGGAGTCCTGTTGTTAGCCGCGCTAATTGCAATAATCAGACACCTCTACATCTACTGGTTAGTAGCTTCAACATACATTGTGCTATCTGTCCTCTCATTGGCTAAGAGCCTACAGTTAGTTTTGTAAAACAGCAAAACCATCAGATTAGTTCATTATTTTCTAGCAGATAACTGAGATGAGTAATCTGTAGATTGCGCGCGCATTGCAAATTTCCAAGAGCAATGTCAAACTGCGTTCCATTCGATGGTGCGTTTGTCGCTATTTTCCTAAAACAATGTATAAGAAGAACTATTGGATTCGGTTTTGTGATATCCGGAATAATGAAGATAAGTGTTAACACCCGAATACTTACCTCGGCCTTGGTTATCCCGTAAATCACAAAAACCTCATCCGTTAATTGTTTATCATCTGCCTTGCTCATTAGTTCTTATGACACTCTTGGTTGACAATAACAGATCCGTCATTATTAAGTCCAGTTTCCTGTTAATCATGTCAGTGATAGTTGAGGACTGGAGTGAAGGCCAACGTTATAGTGCACACAAGTTAAGCATTTTCGAGAAGAAAAAAAGTGGCCTGACTTCTCTAATGTACGCCGTAGGCTTTGTAAGAGACGCTCCCCCGGCCTCCCTCTTTTGACGCTTTATAGGAAAGAGTAGAGAGGAAAACTTGGTAACGAGGTTGAAAAAGAATCTGCTTTAAGCATGAAAATACAACAGAACGTCCTCAATAGACAGACGCAGTAGTCGTCCTTGCAGGGAGGTCGGAAATATACGGCCAGGGGCTGTATGAAGTTTGTCATCGTAGGACCAAAAGAACTGTACATGTGTGAGAGTTTTTTTAAGAGCTGCCGTTAAAATACGATTGAAACTAATTTCCCATCTTTGTTTTCTTCAGCAAGCGCCACGCGGAGCGTTCAATCATTCACGTTAACCTTTGTTTGGCAATTGCCGCTGGCACAGCTCTCTTCGTTGGCGGGCTCAAACTGACATCAATGAAGGTGAGTGATGACAAAAAGCATTTTTCAAAGTAGCTTTAATCTCTGTCTCGTTAGCCTACATCACAAGACTGTATCATAAGAGAGGTCGCGGGGGCAAATCTCCATTGAGATAATGGCATCGTTTGGCATAGTGACATCAAAGCGTCACTTTACAAAACCTGAGAGTAACCTCTTTTTATCAAATCAACATTAGCTGCAAATGACCGCTTGCAAAGGACCGCTAACGTATATCCCGCAGAACATAGGATGTATAGAAGACCTGATCAGCAAAAATATATCAAGTAAACACATTGAAATCTGCAGAGTTGATCGTGTTTGTCACTCTTTTCACCCTTGCACTAAATTAGAAAAAAAATGGCCACTATTACGAGTCAAAGGTTTAATACCTGTCCTTACTTTGTCCTTGTCCAGATAATGAACCGCGATAATTGCTGCGAGCTGCTGTTATGTTGAGACTCTCCTGGCGCTTTTAAGTTTTGACAAGCTGCTCATAGTTACAACACCAGATTTCTGATCTAACCTTAATTTTTATCGGCCAAGGATGAGCAATAATTATGGAGCTGCCACTTTTGCTTTTCTTGGATCTAAAATCTTGGAAACCATTCCCTCTGAATTAAAAAAGCTTTCTTATAACCTTTTTTATGAGCAATACAAACTTTACCTTTTAAATATCCAATAAGTAGATTGACTTCTCTGCCAACACTACCAATAATCATTTCTATTGTTTTTTATAAGATCGTAAGTACGACTTTTTGCACTTTTAATTTTTCTTTCTGCCCTTGTACGTTACTCGTAGTTCTATGTAGATGATTAACGCCAGTTAATTGCACGTGGCAGTGACCAAATCGAAAGCCCAAGCTCCTTTGGTCACTGCACACATTTCACCTTTCATGATTGATATAATTTGTTGTTCTTGCTTTTGTAATACTAGTAACCTCTTGTAATAGTGCAAAAAATAAATAATCTGAATCTGATTAACCAGGTGGCTTCATCGCAAAAATTGATGCACTCCTTGATACTTTCTTATCAAATGAAACAGCAGTAATAACTATCCCAAATTTACGGTAACACGCGCGAAGCCGTGCAAATAACTCAAACCAGGAGAGAAGAATGTGACATAGAGGGAAACGCCCAGTCTTGCCCTTGGGATGTGTGAATTTCACCAAAGTTATTTTTAGCCCAATTAGACGCTTGAAATTAATCGGAAACTTGTTTCTGGAGAGGTCCTCAAAATTTTATTCGTGTCACAAGGGACATTTTGCTCTCTTGGTGTGTCGCCATTAGAATATTCTGCATTGTTTGATTTGAGGCGGTCGTGCGTGCACTTGAGGACGTTTCAAAAAATCGATTAAAATGTGCGAACGCCCCAAATAAATAGCAATGTTTTTTCACAAATTTGAGGTACCCCTTGATGCTTTCTTGTCAAAGAAAAATGCTTGGATAACTCCAAATTTACAGTAACACGAGGCTGTGCAAATAACTCAAACCTACTCTTAGCCTGAGTAGCATTGCTGTATTGTCGGGCGCTCTACTGAACGGCGGAGCCGCAAAAGCGCGCGCGAACTGGCGACGAACCCGCCCCAATCTCTTCGCAGTTTCATTGGCCCGACCTCATGGCTTGTTTGCGCGCCCGACCAAAACCGCCATGCTACGCAGGGTATCCTATTCTTCAACGTCATGTGAGGTTTGTCTTTTATCTAATTAACGCCACTAAACTATCTTTTCTATTTTAGGTGGTCTGTCTTGTGATCGCAGCATTGCTTCAGTATTTCTTTATTGCCATGTTCTGTTGGGCCGTGTGCGAAGGACTTCAGTTCTTTATGACGCTTACAACGGGAAAGAACAAGAAATCATCCCGGCTAAAGTACTTCTTTATCATTGGATGGAGTGAGTTGAAAAGACAAATTTCTTTTGGTGGTTAACTTGTCTGCGAATACAGCCGCCTCTCATCGCTCCCCGTCGCTGGGACGCTTTGTGAGACGTTGCAGCGACAAGGAACGATGTGGCTGAGGCAGCTGTATTCACAGTCTAGTGTTGTACGTCCAGATGTAAAGTCTGTAAAGGTGATGTCATAGTTACACAGGACGATACGCAACGACGATTTTTAGCGCAACACAGCGTTGCAATGTTGGAGCAATGTTGTAACTATTCGAAATAATGTCGTAACAATGTTGCAACGCTGTGTTTCGCAAAAAATCGTCGTTGCGAATTGTCTCGTGTAACATCACCTTAAAGTAATGATAGCATCCGGTGAGCAAAGCCTCCTTTTGTCTTCTAAAGTGAGGAGGATAAAAGGAGACTCTCTGCCTGAATCATGTCAAACCTTTGAAGTTGCTGAAGCCCGAACTTCTCGACCAGTCAATCTTGTTTTCTCTCGTCAAACCGGTGTTTTGAGTCCGAGCATCCGTTTACTAATAAACCGCTGGTCATAACTGAGCCCGCTGTACCAAGCGTACGGCTATTAAGCCTGGGTTCGAAACTGTATCGGGGCATCAAGCAGCGCATGCTCAACTAGGATCTTACTCGATTCATGTAGAGTCTTTCTCGAGTACGCCAAAATCGATAAGGCTAAAGAAAGGCTCTGGTAGGACGGTGTAATGATAGGAGCCCTTCCGTCGATCATTTCATCATTCAATCCTAAAAACACAATCTTTTCTTCAAGGAAAAAGCGCTTTTGACCCTTTCTTTTTTTATTTGTTTCGAAGTCTTTCGAAAAGAAACGGCTGAGTATCATGCGATTTCTTTATAATCACTAAGATCGTGTTTTTTTTGTTTTAAAGCCAATTATATAATTCCACGTGGGGCCTATTGTTTTTGGAAAACGACACTAAATGGTCCTCGAAGGGTTTCATGAGTATCCAGAGGTCGGTAAAAACTGGGGTCTGTAAACAGTCTCTTACAAATAACACTTGACTACTTCCAAAAATAGCATGAACGCCTCCGAGTAGTCCTCTATTTCAGTTTTGTGAAAAACACACATAGCAAAAATTTTTAGTCTTCTTTTTCCTTTGACACCGGTTGATCATTTCTTCGTTTTTTCTGTTTCAGTTTTTCCCTTGATTGCGGTAGGAATTTCGCTGGGAATTACCCGACTTAGTGGATACGGAGATGGTGATTGGTGAGTTATATTTTTGTTAATATCAACAGAACTTACGGGTCGCCAACGGGATGATAGACCTTTTTAGCTGGTGTGTTTTGTTTTCCCATTTCAGACCATGCGATTGGTTCTCTAGAGAACAGTTTCTATCCACGTGCACCTGTGCATATACATTATTTATTAAAAGACAAAAAGCAAATTCCCTTGAGGACATCATCATCATCGTACAAGCTGAAAAGGTCTATTTCGTTGGGCGAGAGTGCTTTTCCGCTGCCCAGAGGAGGAGCGCGGGCGCATTTTTGCCACGAGGAAATTATTAACGAGTTGCGGACACAAGTCAAGACGAAGCTCTTGCGCGCAAAATTCCGCCAGCTATTTTCAGTGATCCACTCTACGGAAACTCTATCCCCACACTACAACACTGTACCCCTGCTCGCCGAAGAGTTTGGGTGTCGGAGGGAGGGGGAGGGAGACACACCCTCGTACAAGCTATACAATCAGGTTTCTCTACTGGATATCTCGCTGCCCAACGTTTCAGAATTTGCGTACCGATTAATGAAGGTGGAAGTCAGCCACATATATTTGCCACAGAGTTATGCGTTGTATAATATGATCTGTTTTGAAAGAGGTTATTGTAATCAGTCTGATGGTTTTATCAGCCATATTAGTCCTGGAATAGTTATCAACATATCGGGGAACCAGTTGGTCTGATATTGGATGGGTGTGGGTATAATTATTGGGTTTCAGAAACACTTAGATACTCTACTGTTCTAATGCTATTTGCAGGTGCTGGCTTGATTACAGCACTGTTTTGATGTGGGCCTATGTTTGTCCTGCGGCTGGATTTATCTTTGTAAGTACATATTTTCCCAATTAAGTGGCCTGTTTCCAATACATGGGTTTTCATAGCTTAGTTGGTAGAGAACTGCAGCGCTAACGCAGGGTCCATGGGTTCAAATCCCGTTCAAGCGCCGAATTGTTTTCGAGTTAATTTGCAATTTATTAAATTTTTATAGCTCTGCGACGATGATATCTTCATTTAAATATGAATGGACATTGACATTGTTGATTATGAGTACCGTAAGTCAGTCATCAGTCCTTTAGCCATTCAATAGACCTTCTTCACGTCACTCACTCGTCATATTCGCCACCATAGAAACGAGAAGGAAGCTTGGCCCAGCTACCCTTGGCAAGGAATTCTGGGACGGTTACTGGGGACAGGGAAAAAAATTGCCAATAGGTGACTGGTGCGTTTAGTAACAATCCCAGGCACAATTGCGGGACACATTTCGGCTCCAGTCTCCTGCTCATTTCTAAAGTGGCGAATGATTGACGGAAACAGTATTTAATTCATTTCAGGTTAGCCTTGTGGTGATGATTGCTGTTTTCTGCGCAAGAGGTAGAGCAAATGCCGACCCCACTGACAAGAGAAAAGTGACGTAAGTCAACTTCAAACGACAACTTCTTTACTATCAAGTCTTTTTACCAATCTAAATATGATCTTCACTGGGTCATAAACAATTTTTTTTTCTAATTTGGTCCAAGGGTGATAAGAGTGACAAGCACGATCAGCTTTGTAGATTTCAATGTGTTTACTTGAGGTCTTCTATACATCCTACGTTCTGCTGCATATAGAGCATTTTCACTCACGTGGTCAGCATATATGCATATTTATTGGAACAAAAGAAAGCGTTTGCATATGAAAAGAATTCAACTCCCACAGGATTGTCTTGGTACACCAACATGGCTGCCGTTTCATTGTTTTGGAACACCAATATGGCCGCTGTGACGTCATGTGAAAACACTCTATACGTTTGCGGTCCTTTGCAGTTAATGTTTATTTGATAAAAAATGTTCCTTTCATTTCACTGCAACTACCAGATTTCTTTTTTTTGTTTGTTTGTTTTTCTTTCTTTAGCAAAGAAGGACTATTTTTATTCTATATCAATAAAAAAAAGCCAGCGGGAAAGAATGACGGACAAACAAAAGAAAAGAAAGAAAGTATCTAAGAACTACGTAATATTCGAAATCAGTAACACACAAGACGGGAGAATGGTAGCTTTCAATGCAACACCCTCTGGGATTGATTGAGTGTACATGCGTTAATTACAACAGACCTTTTTACCGATACGGCGGCCATATTGAGTAAGTTAGAGTTAAGGAGTATTATGGGATGCCTATGGGGCATGAGCACGTTCCGTTTAGTATTTACGAGCGTCTTTCGGGGCATTTTTTCTTAACGTTTTCTTAGAATAAGATTGTAATGGGAGAAAAGATCGTTGTGCAGTGTTTGGATGTAATAATGATCGCCTTTTTCCCGAGAAATATACAGTGAAGGACCATATTTCTAATACTGATCGAGTACAACGGATCTTGCCCATGCACCCTGGGCATCCCATAATACTCCTTAAATCGAATTAATTCAATATGGCTGCCGTATCGATAAAAAGGTCTATTGGTTAATTGTATCCATAGACGACCATTAACTTAGCCTGCCTGCAGACTTCTCCCTTCTTATTTCCTTTATTTATTTGCTCGCGAAATAGCAGACGTCTGGACACAGCCTACCATGAAGCTGCTTATTTTGTCCACCTTGACTATCCTGTACCCATTTTCCTCCAGTGTATAGGGAGTGGCATTGGCCAGTTTTTGAATTATTAAAAGCCGTAGTTGGCAGTTTAGAAATGAATCGCATTGAGATAATAGTTCATATGTTTTGGTCCCCTCAGCCTCGAAGCCAAGTATGAATTATGTTGTTTCGAAACTAGCTTTATGTAATCAGCAGTATAGATCGTTTTCACTGTCACGTAACAAAAAAATAAATTGGAAACTGTCCAGTGGAAGAAGCCAAGAAAATGAAATGTTATAAGAGACTAATATATAAACAATTTGTCCAGGCCTCAGGTCTTTGTGGTTCAAGGTTTCTGAGTTATTTGCCGAAACGTTTCACGCACCTTTGTAGAGCTTTGTATGGAGACACCATATTGGTGCACCGTTTTGGTGCACCAATATGGGGGCCGGAAATCAACAAAAAAATCTGGAGTTCACTTTTTCTACCAAAGCTCTTTCTTTTCACTCGAGAACTAGCATACGTGCGCATAAACATATCTTGTAATACTTGCAATGGTTATACTTCTGAAAATCAAGAGGAGAGACTTTTTTTCAACGAGACAGCATATCCTATATTAGGGTCACGCACTGTGAAAACTCGGAAGTTCAAATTGCTGTATTTTTGAAATGAAACATGCTACGGGAATGGAAACTTGTGTAGAGATTTACTTTTTGTTTATCCTCGACCTAGTGGAAATAGGAATTCGTAAAACCTCTCTATTTTGGCCTTACAATTTGACGTCAATGTGAAAACTATCCATTCTCTCTCTTTTTAGCCTCTCCATCGTGCTTCTTTTTATTTTGATCATTGCAATCGCCGGGACCTGGATTCTAGCTGCTATTTACGTCAAACATCATGAAACCAGCTACTGGCAGTACGCTTTTGCAGGTGCATGCGGCTTTCAGGTAATATTTCAGTAATGTCTTCGTTACGTCACGCAGTACAAAGCAAACATTACCTGGTTTTACTAATAGCCCCTTTTGCAGACGTACTTTAGCTCCATTACGCAATCCTCTCCAACGTGAGCATTTCGTATCGAGCCAAAAGGACTTCGGCTAGACTGCGAGCGGTCTCTTATTTTCCTGTTGAGTCACAGTAGTTCGAGAGCGCGCGTGAGGGGCGAGTGGCGAAGCCGCGAGGAACGAGGGCGCAAACCCGAGGAAGAAAAAAAAACAATAAGAAACTGCGATGGGATCTTTGATCTGGCGATCTGCCGCTTTTCACGCCTCCTTGGTTGACAATTGACTCAATTTCACTTTTTTTTACCTGTAAGAGACTGAGATTGTTTGTTGTTGAAAAGTGGCGATCTAACCAGGAATTCCTGTTTCACTGAAATGGTAATTTTAAAATACAATAAACACGTGCGCGGTCTTCCTTTTTTTCCTCCACCCCAACTTTTCCTCCTCTTTGCAATCAATTTGATTAAGTTCACTTTTTCGCTCTCCGCGCGTGGTCCTGAGGAAAAAGAGGATGACCCCTCGTGGTCTAAACGTCTTCAAGAGATTTAATAGCCTGAATCATCATACAATTACACTTTTATAACTTTATTTTCTTCTTTTTGTTTTTTTTTCAGGGAATTTTGCTGCTTTTATATTGTCTCATAAACCAGGAAGTGAGTCAAATTGATCATTTATTTAAAACCTGTACTACGAAGACACTAACTGGGGAAAATCTTTAAACTTAAGTTAAACCTTTTGAACAAAGACTTTTTGTATTAGCCTGACAAATTAAAAACAGCCGACATTTCGCGATGCCACTGCTGGTTTCCCCGCGAAATGACGTCTGAGGAACGACTGCAGAAATTCAATACTAATGACCTGTCATTACCCAGATCCGGTCAGTTCTTTTGATTGGTTAAGGCAAATTTTCCTCGCGGTACGACCAATCAGAAGCACCATTCAGATTTGTGTATTGACACGCCATCGATATGGAATTTCTGCAGTCTTTCCTCAAACGTAATTTCGCATGGAAAACCTTTAGTGCTGTCGCGAAATTTCCACAATCTGATTTCTGGATTATGCTTATTTTTATATTTCTGTTAAATGAAATGAATTCGCGAAAAGGGGTGAAATGGTAACCGTGGCCAAAAGATAGATTTCTGGGATCACTTTAGGGTTTCTGGGAAACTGCCCACCTACCCCTCCCCGAAGCCATCATTTTGCCCTAAGTGAGAAGTAAGTGTTAATGTTAGCTTAATGGAGGGGATAGGTGGGCAGTTTCCCAGAAAGCTAAATTGATCTGATTTTTGTACACTTATGTACGAAGGAAGCTCAAGTTTTAGCTGGTATTCAATCGTCGATGTCATCCTAGGAAGAACATATCCTCTTGACTGTTCTCAGAGGATATCGAACCTTACATTTCTATTGGTGAACTTGCTTCACTAAATAAGTAATCCCTAAACGTCATTCTTCCGTGCGGCCAATTCATTTTTTTTTTTTTCACGTGTTTACCGAAATGCACGGTCGCGAAGGCTTGGGAAAACGCCGAACTTTAAGGTTGTACACAGCCCTTTCTTTTAGCGTTAGATTTGCTCGTGCGAGGGCTTGCTATAAGGGGCTGCCATCGTGGTTTCAAGTGTACCGAGTGGGGTAAGCTTCGGGTTTCGTAGGGTCAAGGAGGGTAGTTTTTCGTGCTTCCCACACACCAACGTCCGCCCTCTCAAACCAAGATGACCGCCAGTTATAGCAAGCGCACTTTCTCGTTGCTCTTAACGGAAAATTGGATACTGTGAGCAGCCTTCATGTTTTACGACAAACCGTTCAAATCTTCTTTAATAATCGTGGTTGATTTTTAAAATTGTTGTCCATGCCACTCTTGAAATTGTAATTTTGTAGAGACAACTTAATAATTTCTACTCCTTTGATGCATTTCAGATCAAGAACTTCGCGTGTCTTTCCAAACCTAAGAAACACCGACCAAAGGAAAAAAGGAATTATTACAGTACCACCGATACTGTCCAGGTTAGCTTTGCCCTGATAACTACTCTGGAAGCATCAGAAATCAAATAATTCTCACTGTTGCTATGCAACCCTGAGGGGGGGCGTCCTACCGGGAGGCTTCGCCCGAAAGGGGTACTTTCTTCAGGCTTCAGGTATATGAGAAGTAGGTGTTTTACTGGTTGAAGTATCTGTTATTACTGTCTGTGGAAGGACCTTAAAGGGCTAACAGTCGCATTTTATGGCCGTGAAAAATACAAGAAAACTTTCTGGTTTAAAGGGGCACCATTTCCTAATAAAAGTATAAAAATATGAAAGGGGTTCCTTTTTTGTCGAAAATGGTACATCAACGGAAATTTCACCCAGCTTACATGAAAGGGTGGACGCATAGATAACCAGATTTTTTTACCCTGGGTGCTCCGCTGCACGCGCTTCGCGCGTGCGAGAGCTCTGCAATTAAACAAGAGCCCCTCTCAAACAGGCGCTCCCTTCTCTCCCTTTCCCCCTTATTTTCTTAAATAGTAGGGATACAAAAGTAATGCGATGATCTGCGTATCGTTGACGAGGATGATCTCGAAGATGCTGAGATAATCGATACCCATACATCAGTGTGTCAAGTGTTTAATGTGACTACGGTACGCTCTATTCCCAACTGCTGTTTTAACAAACAAAAGACATAAAAATCGACTTCACGTTTCATTTTCAAATAAGCCAAGAAAACCTATACTCCGTTGAAAGGAAAACTTTATAAGCACCCCTTTTATTAAGCGCCCGTCTTCCAATAAGGGCCCCCTCCTTTCAGCCGTAATTTTAAATAACCACCCGAGCGCTTATTCGATAAAATAACATAACACTGATTTTCTTCTTTCTTCTAGTATTTCTCATCTGAAACTACCGCAGTTGATGGGAAAACGTACACAGTCACTAGACCATCCATTAAGGAATCCAATACTGATCTGCGAGGATCGTCCAAGAGGTTATCCCGCATTGGTTCAACAACAGGGGTGTTTGAAAGTGAACCCGAATATCCTTCCCCCATAATGGACACACCAGCACACATGGACAGTGCAGTTAAAAGGTAATTGCCAACAATTTAGCGTAGGGAATCTCCCCCTCATTAATACCCTGTGTCACCGAAATTACAAAAGGTTTAGCCACCATCCAGGGCCTGGTAAGACCAAATAAGGTTATGCTAGCCGTGTGTTTAAGATCTTTCCTCAATTCGAATGGTCGCTTCATTTGGCGCTGACTTTAAGCCGTTGGCCTTGTTTCTAGCCCGAGAAAACAGCCGAGTTTTCGCGAAGCTACCGCTGGTTTTCCGGCGAAAGTACGTCAGAGTAACGAGCGCAAAAATTCCTTACTGATGACGCGTCTCTACTCAGTTTTGGTTAGTGCTTCCGACTGGTCGTACCTTCTTTAATTCATCCCTCTTTCGTTTGGTATTTTGCAAAGAGCAGTTGAAAGAACCCACCGTGTTTTTGGAAAGGGTTTTTCAAACTCATTAATTATTCATGCAGTCTAAGGCCAATAAATGACGACCATTTGGGTTAGGTAGATGAATCTTTATACCTAATGAAACACCACCTTCATCTGAAAAGAAAGATGTTTTAGTGATTAACACAACCCATTGAAACAATGCAGTGTTAGAGAAAACATGCCACTGCTTGATTTCTTATGGTTAGGTCTCTGTTCAGTTTCTCCTCTTCTTCAGTCTCCGCTTCCAAAAATTTTCAGCAGTTATTATTAATGATGTTAATAATAGTTATAATGATGGTGATGATAGTGATGATAATAATTTATTCTCGCGCTATTTAACATCGATCCAGCGTGATACCAACGACGAGGGAGAAGAAAGCCTCTTGAACCCAGCGCAGAAACATGTATATTAAGACTGAGCTGAGAAAAAAAACTCATCCTTAAAATAACTGAACACAAGTTACTGTTAAGAGAAAGCAAATTTTACTTTTTTTCGTACGAAAAAGTAATCATATTCTCATTTCGTCCAAGATACATCGAAGACCAACCGATCCCAGAAACCCCTGCGGGTGAACCAATCCAGTTGCAGTCATTCCCATTCCGAAAAGGAAGTTCATCAATCCCGGATTCGGTCAGCGATCGGCGCCCGGACGGTGCCGAAGAACCTGAAGTGTTTGTGACGAACTTCTTCGGGGAACGCAAAGGCTCGAAAAGCAGTGTGCGTAAAAGTTTGGATACCTTATCCAGTTATTCAAAGCTGCAACAAATTCCGGAGCGACAGCCCCTGATGAGTGCATCGGACTACCCCGCAGCAGAGTCACCGCCTCCTTACAACAGCAGACCAAGGCACAGATCGCAGGAGTTTAAGGTAACCTCACACACAGAATGTAGACCTTTTAACCGTTCAAGTCCCCTTAAATTTCTTACTGCCTTTACCCATACACAAAATACTCCTGTAGAGTTATGAAGAAGATGTCACACAAATTTAAGGGAGCACTGACCATAATAATTTTTTGATGGGTTTTGCTGGTATTGCATTGAAACTTGAAAAGGTTGGCCCTACTTTTTCATATTTTAATCCATGTCCATCCTTGCCATCCACTGCAGCAGACGACAGGAACAGGTTCCAAGCCTAAGTACAGTCTTAAATAACAAAATCGGCCCATTATTTTTTTAATTCAGTTGATGTGAGAATAGTTTTAGCTTTTTTAACAAGATGGTAAAGAACATGACAGTCCTATTAAAGAGCACTATGCAAAATTGATCACAAGAGACAATCAAAGGGAGAGTTTTGAAGGCCATATCCAAATAGACTCAGAGTTCTCAAGATTACTTGAACCTTTAGCCTCTATTGTTATCCCTTAGCCATTTTGTACATATCGTGCATTTCTTTTTATAAATTCTCAATTTATAACTTACCTGGTTTTTCGCCATTAGCGTTCAATTTACGACTTCGAAACCGGATGGTGGGGACAAGGGAATGTGTCCCCCAAAATGAAAACACATTTACTGTTATGTGTTGCGACTTTTATATTTCTCCGTGCTTCAATTAAAGGAAACACAAGTTTTGAATCTCCTTATGGGTATGGCTTTTTGCTCATTTGGTCTTGACTGAACCGTCCACCTAATCGAGGACTATGCAAACCACATGGACTCAGTGCAAAAGTGGCTGCTGGGTTAATATTCTTTTGTTGTAATTAAAATTAGCCTGACTCGGCCACGCTTGAGATAAGGTGTTCTTTTGAATTTTGTACTTAAGAACGAGGCTAGTAAGGCTGACTTGAATATGAACAAAAGAATATGAACCACTGAGGCCATTTTTGCGTATGGCCTACAGTTTCTCCAAGGACATAACGTCCAGTCTTAATACTCGTTGCGTTTCTCCCCAGAAGTTAACCCCATTTGAAGAAGATCACTCCATCGATCCTAAAGATGCTGCCATGGATTCCTCACGCAGGAAGTCGCGTCGTTCTCGCCGACGACTCGAAGAAGAGTTCGGTAAAACCGATCGAGAATCGATCGAAAGACGCAAAAGGAGCCTACGGTATTCGTCTGGTTACCTCAGTGGAGTCACTGTCGAGCAAGAGGTTCAAAAAGCGGATAAACCTCATGCAAGTCTTTGATTAGGCTGCAAAACAATAGTTCGTATTTATAGCGTAGTCAAAGACGCGTGAACAGTCAAACGAAAGGTCTGGAGCGAGGCTGAAAACGAAGAGTGTGACTGGGGAGAGACGCGAAAAATGCGAGGGTGAACTCGGGCGTGTAAGCCGACTCTGACCCGACGGTGCTTCGCGTTTTGATAAACCGATCTTGAGAAAAAGCCCGACTGCTTTACAGTCCAGCCTTTGATGAACAAGATTGACGTACAACAGTAGTTTATTTTTACAATCAAAGAGAAAAGGACGTTTTGCGCCAAAGATGTGTGAACTAGGCTTGGTTTATACAGTTGAACTTGGTTGTGCGTACAAGTAATTGTTTAGTGAAGAGCACCTTACTACAGGTTTCTACATCCTGCTAACTGATTTCGCGTGCGGCATAATAATATCTGGGGCTTTTGAAGAAAGTTCCAGAACGTAGAAAGGTATACGTCATATGTGTGTCAAAGCTCCGTTCCTCTCTCCGAAAACTACAAGGGGAATGGGTACAAGCGTTCGGCGCAATGATTCCTGGGATCGGTTCGGTTCACAAGCTTTGCTTGTGATTGGCTAATGGTTTCCTTGAATAACATCGACCAATCATAACTAACACTTTTCCATCCAAAAGATCCCGGTAGTCACTGCACCCAAAGCTTGTACCCATTCTCCCTAGAGAGTTTCTGAAGGGGAAAATTGAAGGAAACGCAAGAAGACGTATACTGGGATCGTCATTGTGCTACAAGCTTTATTTCACTTGCAACGCGAGCTGTATTATCCGTAAGGAACACTAGTCGCCGGAGAAAATAGGACATAGCTGTAGCAGAGAAATTATTGCGTGAACTGCTTATATCGCAGAGGATGGTTCGCCTTGCTCGAGCACAGCTGGCATTTTGTTTTCCGATTTTCCGATTTCAATATTATTTATAGAGAAAATCAGGCATTTTTTTATTATTGTAAGTCTGAAAGACGATAAAATAAAGAGAGACTAAATTGGAGTGTACTTCTTTGAGTTATGTAATTAACAACTATTCCTCGAGCCCGAATGGGCTGTGAGTCAATACCGCATGAGGCCGAAGGCCGAATGGGGTGGGGGGTGGATAATTGTTTTAGTAAAATCCAATTAGTTGGTCAAAAATATCGAGACAAAATAACTTAAGCTAGAAAAACGCGATTCAGCCGTCATTGTTTTGGTTTTCAAAGCCGGCGCTTTTCGCTTCTAGTGGGTTATAACATATAGCCTAGTAGTTGCTAAAGCAATCAGAACGCAGCATTGATAATAGATCACTAGTTGGATTTTGCTAATGTTTGTTATCCGAACGTGTACACTATCATTTTATTGAAATATTTTATAGTTATATAAGTTATTTAGCAAAGCGTTTGATCGGTCTTAGGGCGCTCTTCAAAGTCAGAACTGGCCGGCCGGACCAGACATTTTGGCATTGAAATAGGCTTTTTTCAAGGCGATTTGCTGAAAAACCACTTCCTTTGTGCATGATATTTAGGATTTGACTGATCTGGATGGTAAGCTTTAATTAAAAGTGAAATCCTTATTACGATGGGAATGGGCTGGCAGGTCAGTTCTGACAAATGGAAGGCGCCCTTAATTTGCCACTCCAGAAGTTATAAGGGGGGAATGGCAAGCTTTCGGCCCAACGATTTCTGGAATCATTTCCCGGGATGGACAAGCGTTACTTATGATTGGCTAATGGTCTCCTTAAATGTCATCGACCGATCATAACTAACTCTTGTCTACCCAAACGATACCAGAAATCTTTGCGCCGAAAGTTTGTACCCATTCCCCCTATACTCTCCATAGTGGGGAATGGGTCGTTTGTACAATGACATCATTTGACGAGAAGTACCATAATCCTTCAGGTTATTGTTACTAAACTGTAATGAAAAAATGAAAAGGAAGCGAACTCTGGTACTTGAAGTCAAATGATGTCATAGTGAAAAAACCCAATATACCATTTTCGAGTTGCCCCAAGCCTCTGTTTCAAAGCGAGGCTGCGTGCGAATCTATTGATATGAAAATGAGTTTTTTATTCTCATGCAAATAAAACTTATTTTCATAAGAAAGGTTTCGCACTGAGCCTTATTTTGAAAGTAAGAGTTTTTCGAACTAGAAAATGGGCTGTTGGAGCGCTGGAAAAAATTTCGCGACTGCTCTCGCCTAAGTTGCTCTGCTTTGTGACTCGTCAAAAAACCTTGCTCCATTTTCATCGGAAACCAGCAAAGAGAAGATAAAAGTTGAACTGATAGTTCATTGCTGGTTTACACGTGAAGTCAAAGTGGCGATACCCACGCTGATATCACTATATCCAACCAGGAGCTTATGGGTTCCGGAAACAGACCATTCTATTTTTTCACTCGTTGCAAATTTGTAATAAAAACGTTTGTAAAAGGAATGGGCTCATACACAACCTTTTAGGCTGGATTCATTTGCAACATACGCGTATAGCTGTCGCGTTTGCCTGTTGGGATTTTTTATTGTTTTTAGGCCTAAAAACAATAAAAACTTCCAACAGGCGAATGCGACAGCTATACGCGTATGTTGCATATGAATCCATCATTAGAGTTTACCTCAGTGTAGGAACTTGTGAACTTTTTCTATGTTTCGCACCTTTTGTTTTCCTAGTTTCTATGGTGTTGAGCTCTTTGTTCTCTTTGTTTTACGTCAACTGTGAGTTTTACAGGTTTTTACACTCAGGATGAGCCACATTTTATTTGTTGTGCAGGAAAGTTTCGTTGTGGGTGCTTCGAAAACTTGCAGCAGGCCCGTAGAACAAAACCACTGCGGACGTAGTCGTAGTAAACTCGAAAGGGGACCATTATCATTATATTATTTCCCAAGTTCATGGTCTCATAGCCACTTTGATTAGAACACTGCTAAAAGCAAAAATGGCTACCAAACAGAGACAGCGAGGAGTCTGCGAGATGCACATTGCACACCGCTTAATTTAACACGGGGGAAAGAAGGGAAGCCTCGGAACTAAGAAGGTATGGCTGTTTAACGTACAAGTTTATCTATACGCATTCAAATAATCGCAGTTCTTTTGACAATTTTATGTGACATCTTTTTTCTTTTAATATACAGTGTGTACAAAACGAAGGCTACGTTAGCACGGCAACGGACGGATTTTCAACCGGTTGAACAGTTTGACCGGCTACTTTGTTAACAAGGAACCATTCAATAATTTTGCTCTGTTCACTCGGAACTTTGAACGAGTAGACGTCTACATTCTCGTACGGTTTAGGTGGTTCCGTGTGAACGCAAGACCTAAACGTTCGAATTTTCGGTTACCGGTCGTTTCGTTAATTCCTTCAAAGTCTTCGAGGTGTAAAACGGTTCACGCACTTGGCTTAAAGAACGAAGAATGTTCACCCAAAATGTTTTTCAACTGCAAACTTTTCTTGAAGTGATCGAAATTTTTGTGCAATTTAACTGCTTGAGTTCGTATCGAAACGACTTGCAACGAAACAACTTTGTATCCCGGCGAAACGAACGGTTTCCGAATTTTCAACTGGTTGAATATTCGTCCGATGCCGTTTGAACGTAGTCGAAATCTGTCATTTTCGTGTTAATTGAAATGATATTTTACAATATAACTGGCAATACTTCAGAATACATGAAGCGAATAATTTTGGCAATACAATCTTCATAATATTTACACATTTTATGACTGATATCTATCAAGTAAGTGTTGAAAGGGACAATCTCGCGCCACATTATTGATCGAAACTAAAAACTGCGATTCCGAATAAAAACAACTATCATTTACTACATACAAACCTGGATGAATTTTTGGCCGAATACGTGCTCTAAAAATGCTATGATCTCCTAAATTTTTCGATTGTTTAACCTTTCAGTTTTTGCCTTTCTTCTTTTTTGTTTGTTTGTTTGTTTGTTCTTCTTTGCTTTGATAACTCTGGCTTCTTTCGTCAATTGTTTATTAGAGCACGTTCTTCGTCATATTCTCGAGGGACTAGTTATTAGTCAGTGCCTGTTTATACGTCACTTGCACATCTCCCATTATGCACCTTATTTCCCCCCCAAATTTTGCATAACCTTTGCGTTTCATTTCTTCTGAGTATTACAGCCGTCCCAAGAGAAATTGAAAACAATGCTTATGCAAAATTTTGGGGGGCAAATAAGGTTCATTATGGGAGATGTGCAAGTGGCGTATATGAGATGAGACGGACCATGCCTTGTTTCCTCTTAAAATTTCGTTGTGTTTGTGCGGGAAGGCGGACTGGTCCGGTTTGCCTAGATCCCCGGTGTTCGAGCCGAGATCTCGGCAAGCAGGAAAGCACTCGCCCCTCCTTATATGAACACAACGAAACACAACCAAAACTTTAAGAAGAAACAAGGAATGAGCCGAGCCAGCCCGTTAACAGGGCCGTCTCACCTCATTTAAACAGAGAATTAGAGGGAAGGGTTAACGATTCAGTTTTGCGCAGGAGAAAGAGATGCGGTCACCAAAAATGCCTCTCATAAATAAGTTTTTAACCCAAAAGGAATTCCCTGATGGACAATTAATACAGAAAGGAATTCACTTTGGTTTAGGACGAAAACTGCCCACAATTTGTCAAATTTACATTTGAAGTCACTGTTCAAACATTAAGTTTCAAGGCTTAGACAACTCTTTGGCTCATAGAACCAGGCACCTGTGGAATGCTGGGATTGTTCTTGTAATAGTGGGTAGAGTAGTAATTGAAGTAAGACGGCGGATATGTGATTCCAGCACCGGCTGCGTAACTTGCTATTCTTAACTGCTGGTCCATTTGAGCTTTTTCCAATCGCTTGTCTTTTGCGCGGCGATTTTGAAACCATATTTTCACCTGTGTTTCCGTTAAGCTGAGACAAGCGGCGAGTTCGAAACGTCTAGAGCGTGTTATGTACTCGTTCTGATGGAATTCGAGCTCGAGTTTTAGTGTTTGCTCGCTGGTAAAGGTTGTCCGCTGACGTCTCGACTTGCTTTCTTTTCTCTTGCGTCTTTGAGGAGCTGAAATAGAAAATTTAAGTCTGCTTGAATCAAAGTCGGTAAGCGGTAAATTAAGTAAGCATGATAACAGGGTCTAGATGAAGTTTACTCCGGTGTTGGTAGTAGTAGTGGAGGGGGTGAGGCGTTCAAAAGAGGTTTGGGTAGAGGTAAGCCTGAAATACCCTGAAAACCATGTAATACCCTGTTCAGTGCCACATACCCTTTTTTTAAGCCAAATAAGGGAGTGTCCCCGAGGGGTTACCGTCAATGGAGAAACCGAAGAACTCAGATAAACTGCCTCAGAACATGGTCGAAATCCAACATAATGACCGAACCTCGACTCACATATAAACGTAAGACGTCCGACGATAATTGAAAATATTAATTCTAAGGTATCATTTTTGAAAATAGTCTTACGAATGAGAATTTTGTTGTGATTTCTTGAATGTCTCGAATTCTAACTGCAAAATCCGGTAAGTTAAAGTCTTTTTAACTCTTGCTATGGCTATAAAGGTATATAAGAGTTCTGGCTCACTGAAACATCCTTGAGTGTCTCAGTCGGGTGGTACCTTTGAAGGTTGTCAGTTCATTTTGCCAATTTTGACAGTTGACAGTTAAATTTATCTGTTGTGTTTTGGAGGTTATCTTGGCCTTTCACTTATAGAATTTCGAAATTTTTCTAAATATAAGTTGTAAGTTGTTATGTCCAGAGGTTTTTTATGTCCATTTTAGAGTTCTTCAGTTTCAAGAAACATGGGAAATAACTGAGTATTTTTTTTTTTACAGTTTAGATTCTTTCTTCAGGAGGTTGAGGTTCGATTTAAGATCAGATGGTGGAAATTTTTACCCCATGAGATATTTGAAATCAGCCTAAATTGTCTCACGAAAAAATTTTGGAAACCGCCACCGAACTGACTAAAAAAATAAAAATAACAGCAAAACATTGAAAGAAGATGTAAATAACGCGGCAAATACAAAAGGAGACACGGATGGACAAACTTTAGGAAGATTGAAACGGATTGCAATTTTCGGTCTTTTAAAAAAGATTTTAGAACCTATAACATTTTTTCAAGGGGTCATTTTTGTTGTTTGTAACGTTGTATATAACGCTTGGGAGACATATCTGCTGTACAAGAAAGACTGGCTGTGATTTTGTCATTCAGAAGTAACTGGTTTCTCAAGTTCCTAGGGAATAAGGACGTGCAATTAACATTTAATAACAAAATGACCGGGCGTGACATGGCCCCATTTTATGTTTTCTCATTTAAAAGTGTTGCTTCTCTCCAAGAAAGCGGAATTATCTCTTGCCCTCTCTCTACTGGAAATACGCGAACTGCAGAGCCTCGCGAAGCAGAGGCTAACGGCCAGAAGAAGAAAGAGAGAGAAAGAATCCAACAGGTAAAAGAAAATACAGGAAAATAAAAACAAATAAGACTAAGAAAAAGGGAGAGAGAGAGAGAGAAAGAGCTTTTCTAGGAAACTGTTCACTCTAGACGGAGAATTTACTTATAACCTAAATTCGAAAGTTAGTTAATGATTTTGTTTTGACCCTTGTATCAAAAAGCCAAAAAACTTTATTTGCTATGTTATCCTCTCTTGTTCATTGACAATAAAACACTAAATGATCGTTTTAGTTTTTCGAATGACAGTCCGGAACTTGACGCAATAAATCTCCTTGCTAAAAACTGAACCAAATCTAAACTCTATTTTCTGAAAATTTTTAAGGGTGTCACATTAGGAAGAATCAAATGCTTTCAACAGATTTTTCGTTTATAATGTGGGAATTGGAAAATATGTTCCAGTGGAAAGGTTTTGCATCCGGAAATGTAAAAACAGTGAGAGCTCTTTGGGACTATTGTCCAATACAGGGAAAATTAAGGGGCTTAATATCGAGAAGAAAGACGAAGAATCTGTTTGTTTCAAGTATAGGGGAAACGATACAATAATTAGATGGAACAAATGCTATTAGTATGTTGCCTATAACTTTTAACCTATTAAGTAGCTTGCCATCATCCGCGAAAGCTGTGAAAAATTTAACATGTTCAGTTTTTCCCATAATGAGCTGCCCATTAACAATTTTCAACTTTCCATTATCTACAGTAAAACAAGGAGAGAAACAACAAAAAGTCGCCACTTAATTATATCGATGAGAAACGGTGTGTGTTCGCTTTTGTTTACAAGCACGCGCGTTAATGGTTCTTTAAGAAAGCGCGCAGAAACCTGATAAAGAGATTTTTTACAAACAAAACTGTCCCTTCCTGACCTTGGAATTAAAAACAAGACGTCATTGCGTCATCTGTCATCTTTAAAACTGTTCTCAGGATGCAAAGACTATTCTTTAACGAAAAGGGGAATCAGAAAGGGTTGTTTCTTTTTCTTGACTAACCCAGTAATTGCTATGATTACGTGGAACGATTGACCTCAAATATAACGAAACGGTTTGTCAGTATAACTGTTAAGTTGGGTCAAAATGTAGCATCTATATTAAACACCCAAAGATTAAAATCATTGCGTTTAGACTTTGGCTTTGAGGCATAAAATCGATCAGTATTCGATGGGAGTCAAACACTCTAAGAACTTTGAACTTAAATGACCGTGAAATTCCTGTTACATACACTTTTGAAACAATTAGAATACACTATATAAATTTTGCGTTACCGGGAGTCCAACTGTTAAACTAACTGTTTGATTGCTCGCCCGTTTCCTGTGCTTTTAGAGGCGATTAAAATTAAGATGAAATTTTAATGATGAGAGCGGTTAAACTGGTTTTCTGACTGTTCCAGTGGGTTGAGGACGGTTCTGAAATCTTTGCAGAAAACATTTGGGCATATGTCATGTCCAGGAGAGTTAAAAAGACGTTAACTTACCGGATTTTGCAGTTAGAATTCGAAGCATTCAAGAAATCACAACAAGATTCTCATTCGTAAGACTATTTTCAGAAATGATACCTTAGAATTGATATTTTCAGCCTAAACCACACCCTAAGAAAATTCTGTGGGACGAAAAATTACAAACTTTAGAGCAGTTTGATGGCAAAATCTACAAAATATTGAAGCTCTCACTTCAAAATCAAGTCTTCTCAATAAAATGTTCGATTAAACTAGATATTCAAGTAAAAAGCGTTGTTTATGAAGCTACATCTTATTTAGTAGGCTTTTGGTTTCGTGTATCGGTTAGGCCAATGATTGTCATAAACGAACAATTTAACGTTTAACTTAGCGATATATATAGTTGGCAAATTAAAGAAAGCAGCCGATAGTGTCTGTAATTTCTTGCTTATAATTTGTAGTCCAGTTTTATTCTTTCATATTTAGTCTATAACCAATTAATCAAAAATGAAAAAAAATCGTTAGTGCACTGAAAAGGCTAGATTAGAAAAAGTGTAGAAACAAAATACATTCTCGTTTAATTCATTAAGATTGTTTCCTAAAGATGGCTACTGAGATAAAATACGGAGAATATAGAATGGGTTTTTTATGTTAAGCAACTCTAAAATGTACCCAGAATTTTTTAACTTTATTTTCCAACGAAAAAATGGTATATTTTTTGTTTTTTGGTTTATTTCTTGTATTGAATGTCGTTTTTCTATTACTGAGAAAAGAAACAGGCAGAAAAAAGACAGCGTTTTGCAGCGTTTTGTACTGACAAAAAAAGAGTGTCTGGTTATAAAAATCCAATTTGATACACACAGTATATTCTTTTATTTCTCCGTTGACCACTTGAGCGGAACTAAAAATTAACCTCAGCTAGCAACAGTAAAACTGGCCACTTTCATGACAACGCGAAAGGACACTTGAAGACGTTGTTTTAAGAGCAAATGAAAGAACAGAAAGAATTTTGGGGGGTTCATGTTTTAAAACCTGAAACGGTTGTAGAGAACTTTCATTGAGAAAAGAAATGTATTGATTCTTTGTTTAAAAAAGGCTGGTCGAAAAACTAGTTTGAGAGCTTTGTGTGCAGTGAAAACGGATGGAAAATGATAAGAAGAAATCGCTTTACAAGTAGAAAAAGGTTTAACTTACTTTTAGGCAGATAAACTGAGGGAGGTACTGAAACAGCGCCTGCCATGGACTGTAAGGGCATAAAGCGTGGCTCTGGCGGTACAGGCTGGCTAATGGCGGTGTAACCTGATACGGCTGTTTGCTGACAGGGTTGGCAGTTACATACGCTCGGAGGAAACTCACGCTTTGGCAATGGCGGAGCCACAGAAAATGCCGACTTTCGTTCGTTCTCTTTCTCCAGATCAGCTGTCTTAGGGTCGAGGGATTTCTTCCCCATTAAGGAATCGACGCTAAACGCTGAGGAATTCTGCATACTGGCTTCTGGGAAACTGTTTGTTGCCTTCTTATGCGATGGGAAATATGTTTGCTCAGATTGAGAAAGGACGTTTTATGTGGACAGGAAATTCAAAAGGAGCCTTTTATCGATATGATGGGATCTTTTGCGCGCTATTCACCATGGGCCACGAAGACAATGATTATGGTTCATTATTCCGAGACTTATTTATTAACAAAGATTATGGGTATCCCATGGCACTTATTTCTAATACTGGAGTGTTATTGTTCAATTCCAGGCGTCAAAAAATGATATATTAAGTTAAGATACTATCTTTATCTTTAAACTTTTATTTAGTACATATTCATGATAGGAATGCACAAATTAGCGAATGTGAGTAAGTGTTTTCCCACCGTTTGTTTTATTACATATAGAACGATTTATACCCTTTTAAGCTCAAAATGAAAGTCGCTTGAGCAGAAACAATTGTGTGGGTATCACTTGATGCAAATTGCGCTTTTCATGAAAAGAAGGAATTAAAAACAAGATACTTTTGCGATTGTTTTCATAACGTTTTAGTGCGTTTGTGACGCGAAAACCAACAGTTCCGATTGGTGGAATTGGCCAGGTGAGATCGATTTCTTCATCTGATTGGCTTTTTTTGACGCAGATGGTACAGCTGTAAGAAGGTACAATGGACATTTGTGGATGATTACAGCAATTTTCGCCTCATTTTATTGTATTTATGCACTTCATAACAATTATCTTGTGCCATTTGCAAGCGAAAAACGAGAACCTTTCAGCCAACAGCGCATAAGCATTTACTAACTCGAAGTAAATCTCGCAAAATAAACATCTCAATTTAACCCGCCTTCTCGCGACTTATGGCGCCGTACAACTTTCAGAACTTGGTCACAATAGTTTAAAACCGTTTATAATTCCACTATGGATTTATAACATAAATACTTTTATGAATACCTTTTCTCATCTTTTCTTAGCTAACCCAGTGAAGTGCTATTTTCTTTTATCTCGAGTCAGCTCCAAAGCAACATATTTAGGCTATATTTTGAAGTTGCTTTTCGAGATACGAATACTTTAAATCGTGCCATTTCTTAATACTGTATTTGCCTTCTCGAAAATGATCTCTTCGTAAAGGGTAATAAGTCTATATTCAAGTCATCAACTGAAACAGAGTTTATTTAGATATTTCATTTACTTAATGGACATCTCCTAATCTGCTAATTAAAAATGGAGGACTTTGTTTTAAATTTGTCAATACAACACTACTTCTTTTCGTTTAATATGCTTATTTCCGTTTTTCTGTTTACGAGAAATCCTTGTTTATAGCCATTCCACGCCTGAAAAGCAGAAAACGTTCCCCCGATGTTCTTTCTACCAACGAGAAAAGAGAAACACAATATCCTTTCGAATAAAAGGCTACAAAAAAGTTTCCCCTTAATGGCCCGAATGTTTTGAAATGCCTACGGGGCGGAAAAAGCAAATTTACCAATTTATGTCGGAAGCTTTTTATTATTTATTGACGCAAAATTGCCCAAACGGAAATTTCACCTCTTTTTATAATTTTACAGACATTTTTTTAGCATTATACTTCCATGAATTACCAATAATCATTAAGTGACCCGACCTGACTAACTTAAAAGTTCTGTCGGCTGGTTTGTCAAAACCAAGAAATCCATACTCAGTTTTTCAGCTTGCCGTATTGTAACGGAGGTTTATCACGCCGGCAAAGAATCGAATGCAAGTTTGCAAAGCTAAGTTGTTAGATTTGATTATTCCTGAGGGTAAATTGTTTGATTTTGCTGGAGTCTATAGGGCTAAATTCAAAAAGAAAATTAAACAATTTCCTTTTTATTGGCATATCAAGAAGATACTAATTTGAAAAAGAGGTCGTTTTCCAGATTTTGAAAATTATGATTTCTTGGCAAGACTAAGATTAATTCACAAAACTGCCCGAAATTATTTTCAAGATGTGAGATTAAAGATTAAGCTTTTAATAATTATTGGGGACGGTTTTAAAAAAATATTTAAATAAAGCGGAAAGAGAAAGATAAATTGCTTTGTATTTGTGATACGTGGTAGAAGATGAGGGACAATCGCTCCGCGGTCGTATTGATCTAGGCTTTGTAAAATAAATTCCGTATTTACTTCTCTACCTTTCCAATTATTTTATTCGAGCTTTACGAAATAATATGACCTAAAATCAATTATCAAAAAAGCACATCCAAATATTTTTCTTCTGTATATCTAAAGTGAAATAAAGATCTTTAAGTTTTCTCTCATTTGCACATTTATACCCTTTTAATTGTATGATTTTTACTCAAGGAAAATCAAATAAGATATTAATGTGAATTAAAAAAAACACACAACTCGTAACTATTGAAGTTTAAGCCTCAATTAACCTCGCAGATGTAGGTTTGGAAATTGATGGAAATTGCTCCTCTAACTTTAAATGAATGTTATTTTTTTCTGCGTTCGTGTTTAATGTAATTTTTTCCACACTTTATAGTGATCAAACATTTAATTCAATCCATTTCTTCAAGCTTTTATCATCACTTTCCGCGATAATATAATATTGCCTGCAATGATTCTGTTTTTGTTTGTTCAGCTTTTTGTAGGATCGCAAGTGAATGCGTAATAAAATAATATTAAACATGAAAGCTAGATAAATTATTGATTTGATTTCGATCATTTATTTCAAAAGTTAAATTAACGGCTGGTAAATGCGACTTTGTATAAGAAAAATGTTACATCGACTTTGCACGAAGAGGATTTGAAACTCTTATTATTTAGTTGTGTTGGTTTCCAAGAGGAAGTGCTAAAATAGGTTTCTAAAAAAATACGTGATGGAAGCGACTCTAAACATAACACAAACATTTGTGCGGACTTTTGCTATTCTCTATGATGTTATCATTTAATTGATCAGAAGTCAGTGCGGTTTTAACTGATTTTAAAGTTCAAAGAAAAAGGTTGATAGCCTTTACACTCTGCGGGGTTCTTTTACTAAAGCTCGTCAGCTCATTATGTCCTAACAGACTGCCATTCAATCAAACTAATTTTGCATCACCTGGAAAGATCAGCTGAAAGCTGGATTTACGATTCTATTTGGGAGAGTTTTCAATCAAAACGACTTTTATTTGTTAAATATCAAAGAGGAGAAAAAGGAAGAAAACTCTTAAACGGAGTTAATTTATGTTCGGTGTCTCTCTCGCAGTTATGAAAAATATCAAAAAAACCTGATAAAGAGACAAGTGTCTTAGTGTTTGTTAAAAGTTTCAACTATATACTTCAAAGGAAAATGCACTGAATTGCAACATGTCTGTTTATATTATAGTTCATATGTTAGTTTAATTACCCCAAGTTTGGTTTTCACAAAACATACCCCCTTTTACCTCCGTGAAGTTGCTTACCTATACCGAATAGTTCTCGCTTTAATATCAAACAACTCCCAGCACGATGAACTTTTTTCAAAAAGATCTACACCGCGGCCCTTCTTTATCTCTGCAAGCGTCAATTTTTTTAAAATAAAATAACATGTGTGATATAATTTAGAACTAGTATCACTTAACGCGGGAAGTGGTCATACATCGCCTTGGGTCTCCTGGTACTTTTCTTAAAAGCTTGCTGCGAAAAGCGCCGTTTTCACGCACGTCTTTGTAGGCGAGTAAAAGGAGTCAATTGTAAGCCCTGCTGGTTAAAAATATTTTACTCCGCGGAATTTTCCTTGGGAGTAGATCGGGTCTAGACTGAAAGCTTTCAGAGTGATCTTGAAACTAATCCAATACCCTCCACACAACAATTTACGTGCAAAGGGTCTTTAAAGTGATAAAGCGATACTTGCCATATTTCTCTGGCTTATCAAATTAATTGAACTTGAAGATTCTGTATCGTTAGACCGTTTAACCTAATTGAATCCATATATCAAGCTGAGACGATGCCAAACAGGGGATGCTTTTTTGTCGTAAGGAGAGAGAAAACTCGAGTCTTAAGTCTTAACCCTTTAAAGATCACCAAGAGGTTTAGTTAACAACGTTTCATGCAATTATATGTTAAATGTAACATGTTATTTTATTTTTATCCCAGCAAGTTGTAAACGGAAAACCCAATACTAGTAGTTGTCTGACAGCGAAAATAATTGGAAAGTACTAGAGGTTTAGTGAGATTCATTAGAAATGACAGCTGCATCTTTTAGCCCATTAACCGCAAAATTGGCCCCCGTTAAGTACAATGCACAATTGAGAACTCATCGAAAAAAATCGGGATGGAATTATCTATGTGTTCTCAAGGTGATTAGAGAATTCCCGTTTTAAATAAGGTTACGTAAAAATATATATCAATGTATATCTCACCAACAGGTTTTTGGTCCTTGAAACCAGTCACCCTATTAGCAAACTAACGGATAAATACTTGTCATTTTTCAGAGCGAAATGAATGCGTCATTAGATTAACGCAAGAATACTTTTTTTGCTAAACAGAATCGCAAAAATCATATTATTTTATTTATTTTTTGTTCAAAAGTGAACACGCTTACATCTGCCCGGCGTTTAAACAAAGAAAGCTTTAGTTATTAAGCTAATTGTCTGTGACGATCTTCTAGTGAGTGATTACCATTACATCTGATCGACTTAATACTAAAAAACTCGTAAAATTGTTCTTTTAATAAACATTTTAGGTGCAAAGTGCATTTTTAAATTTGAGTAAATTTCAATGACTTTTTTAAAATGTTCAAAAATTGCTCTATAAAACCGTTTGCCAATCGCTCTTTTCTAGCTTAGTGTTTAAACAGTTTTTCTTTAATTTCGCAGGTTTGAAGAGTACCTCTCAATGAAAAGATTGTTGTTTCTTTGTTCGAAACTGACGTTAACATATTACCGATTTCTACTTTGTATTGTTATTGTGTCGACCTTATTGAGATTTAATTTCATCGATGTTTCGTCGATTCGTGATCATTCAACATTTCAAACAATATGGTTATGAAACATTTTGATAAATAACCAAACTCCAGAGAAAAATTTCAAAAA